TCCCCAGTAGGGAGTGTACAGGAGGCAGCTGATTGATGTTTCTCTCTCATCGATGTTTCTAACTCTCTATCCTTCTCCCTTCCTCTCTGTAAAAAATCAATAAAATATATTTAAAAAAAAAAAGAAAATGCAGAGTTATTTGTGTGGGAATAAAGTATATTTTCATGTGTTCTTTTGGATATTGGGGTAATTAGCAAACTTTGGAGTTGAGTTAAAATTACTATTTTAAATTATTTTTATTTTAATTCAATAAGTAGTTATTGTGCACCTACTATGTATATGTCAGGTATTATGCTAGGTGCCAATATACTGTGATTAATAAGTAGACATGTTTCAACTACTTACAGTTTTGGAGGATACTGTTAAGTAAACAAATAATAATAGAGTTTAGTAAGGGGGATGCCATGAAGGAGTAGAGGAATGGCTTATAACTCTGGCTCTACACAGAGAAGTGTCCCTGAATAATGAGGTCTGAGCTGAGATTTGGGTGGAGTTACTAATAACAGCCAATAGCTAGTATGAATTATTTATGATATCTGAAGCACTTTCTAGGTGCTTTACATACCTAATCTCAGTTGATTCTCAAACCTACCCTAAAAGTTGGAAACTGAGATATAAAAGGTTAAGCAACTTGTTAAGATCTCTTGGTTAATAAGTGGTGAAGCAGGGATTTGGCTTTAGTTGGTAGTTTTGTTCCAGAGCCTCTGTTCATAAGTACCTCTCCCTAGATAGCCAGGTAAGAGTGGGAGCACTCCAGATAGGGCTCCCTTTTCTTCTTTTGGCCTACAGATAGTGTGGAAAGCAGCTTGCAGTACTTATTATGCTCTTAATAAAGAGTAGAGTGTTATTTTGACCAGATGGAAATAAATTTGCATCTCAGTGCTAACTGTTTAAGCTACTCTGAAGTTAGTTAAAACTGAATTAAGATCATATCCAGAGCTCAAGGAGCTTGCATCGAATCAGAGGAGGAAAGTCACGGTTTCTACTTTTTTGTGACAGTAGTTACAGTCTCCCCGTTGATGAGGACTGCTTCTTGGAGGGTGAATAACCTGAGTTGAGTCTTGAAGAATGAAATAGAGTTTGGATAGGCAGAGATGTGAAATGGGAATTCTAGGTAGAAAGATCCAAGAGAGTAAAAGCGTGATGGTGGGACAAGCTTAGGGGACTTTGAAAAATCAGCATGATAGAGGTAAGCAGGTGGGTTGGAACTAGATTCTAACTCATTCCAAAGCTAGGTTCCTAACAAGAGAGATTAAACACATGGAACATTTTCTTTCTGTCTTTGAAGACAGGCCACCCCATTTTTTTTTATTAGGCCTCTTATGATTCTTTTTGTCTTGGTTTAACAATTTCTATTCAGTGTAACAGATTGTGATATTTTATAAATCTTTCAATTTCATCACTTAAAGATAGCCACTATTAAGATGATTTACATTTCTATATTTTTATTTGCAATAAACTTATTTACAAAAATAGGATTATATTACATGTACATACAGCTTTGAAAGCTGTGTTGGTTTTTTTAATTTAATAACACAAGGTAGATAATATTCCAGTGCACGAGTTTTTAGTGGCCAGGTAGTGTTTCACTGTATAGATATACAGTGTTTCACTGTTAATTTATTTGTCTGGTACTCTGTTGATAGGCATTTATGTGCATATATGTTTTCTGTTATTTATATCTGTAACCACCCTTTTACACGTTATATATTTAATTCTAGTTTATTTCCTTTTAAGTTTCTTGAAGTAAAGTAGATAGACAGTTGAAAGGGTATGTACTGCTTTAGGTCTTTTGATACCTTATTGCCAGATATTCCTTCAGAGTATAGAGTGTGTGAGAGTTCCTTTTTTCTTTAGTCTCTCCAACACTGGTAATAATCTTTAAAATGTTTTCACTAAACAGAACATATCAGAGAGAATTAGTTTTTTCCCCAAATTAAATGTTATTTTATATCTTTTTAAAAACTAGTATGTGCATCTTTTTTATATATTTATTGGCTAAAAAATGTTCCATTATGTGGTTCTATCTTTGTTTACTTAGTTTCCTATTAAAGGACACTTAAGTTGTTTGCAGAGTTTTACCATTATAAACATGGCTGTATATTCATCTTTGCACAGTTGACCCATTATTTTTTGTAGTTTGTTTTTCTAAAAGTATTATTGCAAGGTCAAGAACAATTCTCTTTTACATTAAATGGTTTACTGAATTCTTGGCATTAATGTATTTTGATTGAATGTAATAGTCCAATAAATTAATAAGTTGAATTTGGTACTTACAGTTCTGCAAGTAGTAACTGAGAATATGAAATGCCAGGCATTATACAATATTCTAGAGAATTCAAAGGTGAAAAAGACACTGTTCTTGCTATAACAGGAGTTTAGAATTTGAGTCAGTGGCATAGTGTTATGAGACCACTTCAGATTGTTTATGCCTTGATCTTGCCATAATGACTCTTAAAGGAAAACCATATAGATGTATTTATTTATATTTCACTTATCTTTTTTCTAAACAGGAAAATAATTCTGCTTGCAGGATGGGCATTATTCTTATTCCTTGCATACAAAGTTTCTAAAACCGACCGAGAATATCAGGAATACAATCCTTATGAAGTATTAAATTTGGATCCTGTAAGTAGTATTTTTATATAATGCACATTAGTTTAATGATCCCATGAAAACACTGTAAGTGCACGTCCTAAAAGAAATTGGACTGTGCCTAAAAAATAAAACTGTGGTCAGTTAAAATTTTTATTAAAATGAGCTATCTAATCCATTAATTATTCTAATGTACATATGTTTTTTAAGCTACAGATGATTGCCATCCTATTAAGAATTGATTTGTAATTACTAAAATGTAAGAATATTTGAAGATCAGGTGGAAAGTTAGTGAGTGGGTATATTTTTAAAAGACGTGTAAGATGGGTTAATGCAAAGTTAAAACCAGGAGATTTATATATGTTAGTTGGATGATTAAAATCTTATGTCCCTGTGTTAGTTGACACTAAGGTAGAGTGTTAACTCTTTATGTATTTTAAAGAACTGGTGTCATTGTCATAGAAATTCACATTAACTTTGGGTGACCCATTGGGTGATCTCTCTCTCTCTTTTTTTTTTTTTAAATATATTTTATTGATTCTTCACAGAGAGGAAGGGAGAGGAACAGAGAATCAGAAATATCGATGAGAGAGAAACATCGATCAGCTGCCTCCTACACACCCCCCACTGGGGATGTGCCCGCAACCAAGGCACATGCCCTTGACCGGAATCGAACCTGGGACCCTTCAGTCCACAGGCCGACGCTCTACCCACTGAGCCAAACCGGTTAGGGCAAGGGTGATCTCTTGATTGATTAATTGAACTTGATTATTGGGTCCCAACAGAAAATTAGTCTTTTAGGTATATCAGTGGAAAGTTAGAACTGAAATGAATGCTAGAGGTCAGCTAGCCTTTTTTCCTGATGGTGAAAATGGGACCTGAAAAATTTGTATATTGTCCAGGATCCTATAACTTCTTAGGAGTCAGGCTAAATCTAGTGCTCTTTCCATGTTTTCCCCAAACCAATTCTTTTACTTCTAGTCTCTGCTCAGTACTAGTAGATGACTTGACCCAGAGATTCATATAATACAAAGTAAGGAATGTGTTTATCTTCCAGTTTTCTGCTTTGTTAGAAGCAAAGTATTTCTATAATTTGTTTTTCTTTCATTGTGATGATCATGGTCATCAAGAAATTTTAAAAATTAAAAGATTTGAGGGCAATTTGATGCTATGAAAGTTATGAAAAACTTATTAATAGAAAGTGAATCTAATAGGAAACAACTAAAGTAAGCTTATTAAGTACTTAATTTTAAAATATTGACAAGCAGATGAAACCAGATATTCTTCAGATTATTTCTTACAAAGGAAGTTAAGCTTTGATTGGAGGTTTTTTTCAGCCAGACTTAATTTAGTGTGATCATTCTTTGATATTTAAATGTGACAATCCTTTTATTTTATTTAAATACATCATTACAGTTGACCCTTGACAGCATGGGGGTTGAGGTGCTGCTCTTGCCTCGTCAAAAATTCGAGTATAGCTTTTGACTCTATAGTCCTTCACATCACAGTATTTTTAGTCTGCGGTTAATTGATTCCACAATGTGAAATCCGCGAATACCAAAAAAATCCATGTATAAATAAATGAACTTGTGTAGTTCAAACCTGTGCTGTTCATGGTTTCTTTCTCATATCATCAGTGCCTAGTGTACTGCATGACACATAGTAGGTGCTCAATAAAATAAATACATCGGACAAAATAAGTATATTTTTATTTAAAAAGTACATGGGGTGGAATTTATGGCAAAAAATATATAGGATAAAAATTCATTTTCTCTTTCTGAAAATATTGAGTATTTAATATCTTAAGTTCCAAATGGGATGGGTTTTGTTTTTACAGCATTGTGCTTACTTTTACTAAAACAAACCTTTTCCTTTTAGGGGGCAACAGTAACAGAAATTAAGAAACAATATCGTTTGCTGTCACTTAAATATCATCCAGATAAAGGGGGTGATGAAGTTATGTTCATGAGGATAGCAAAAGCTTATGCAGCGTAAGTATCATAGGATTCATTACATATTTTTAAGAGTGGTAAAGATAGTTTTCTATTTGAATAAAATAGTAAATAAAATAGTTGTCATACATTTCTATTAAATGTTGACCTCATATGCAGAGTCTGTCATTTATAGAACTGCCTGGCAGAGCTAAAATGGTAATCTAACTAAAACCTTAATTTTAAGTAACTTAGAGTAGTGCATTTGCCATATGAAGTTGGTTAGATTAAGTAGTGATGTGTTAATTGACCTTTTTCTAAGCATCCTAATTAAAAGAGGATATACTTATTCCCGTTTTCATTTCTAGTTTTTTTAAATAAGGTAAGACCTATTTCTCTTGTTTTGGCAGTGTAGCTTGTCTCATTTAAATTCTTTACAAGACCAATTTAATTTTGGGGAAACAGGATAGATTATATACAATTAGAAGTAGTTATTCCTTGAGCATTACTATTACAAGAGTTAAAGGTTAGGTGGACTCTTTAGGACTTGTGATAGGTATATCTCTACATAGCTCTTATGTTGAATTAAAGAGTAAAATACAAACAAGATGTCTGTTTTTTGAGGATTCAGTGACATAAAATATAAGTAAATATTAGGATACTCAGATATAATAGCAAACTGAATGACAAAAGTTGGGGAAATACTATCTTATTTATGTTCTCAGTAAAAATACATCGACTGTGTCTCTTCTTCCCCCTTTCCTGTGGATTGCTTGTTATCTATATGAATGTGATTTTGTAATTCAGGAGCATCTGAAGTCTGTACCACTTTTTTCTTTTCTGTACAGCTAATGTCCTTCAAATTACTGTCTTTCTATTGGTGTCTCCTTTTCCCCCTTTTTTGATTGTGTCTCCTTCAAGAATTTACTCTAATTGTGCAAGTATTGTGGTGCTTTAGTTGCCGTTTTCAGAAGAACTGAAGATTTCAGAGGAAATCAGATAGACAGTATTACTTAATTAGTAGTTTTAATTTTAGTGCAGTTTTTTTTTTCTGCCCTAGTCTTCAGGTATTGTAACATGTTCAAATTTCTGAATTTGTTCTGAAGTTACTGGAAATCTGACTGTTATGTATCACTATTCTAAAAAGTACAGAAGAATAAAATGTAGCCTTTCATTTTAACTCAGTTACATGATTGAGATATAGAATGTTTTGTATGTAAGATGTCTTAGTTGATGGTCTATATTACACGAATTGAGAAGTAAATGATTATGGGACCCAGACTTTGAGATCTTGTAACTTGTACAAGTATAACTAGATTTGATAAAACTGTACATTTTACCAAATACAAGTTCTGACTGATTGAATTGAAGCTCCCATCTTATGTATAACTCTAGCAGCCTATGTATAACTCAAGCAGCTTTTGGAATGCAAAAGTTATAGGCTTTGATCTATAAAGCTTTTTAGAATTTGCTTTGGTTATTCAGGATATTTTCTCTTCCCTTATTTGTCCATTATAATAAACTAGCTGGGTCATTCCTATTTCTTCATACCAGATTTTTAACTTAGAGGAAAAAAAGAGGTCTGGTTATTTTTGAGGAGTTAGAAACTATTCAATTTTCTGTTTCTTTCTTCTGGATACAGTTGGGATTTGACTTTCAGGTATAAAACCTAGGATCAAGCTACTTTCTAACAAGTGGGCAGCAGAGATGTAACCTTAAAGCTATTCCAATTTTTAAAAATATGTTTTCATGTGTTTGTACACATGAGTATGTAACTTAGCTTTACATAGCCAACTCAGGGTCACGAATATATAATTTAGTGAAAGCATTCTCTAGATCAGATTTATAATCTGGGGTCCTTGAAATTGTATACAGAATATTATATATATAAATTTTTTATTGATTTTTAGAGAGAGGAAAGGAGAAGGAGAGAGAGAAACATTGATGTGAGAGTGAAACATCGATTGGCTGCCTCCTGTATGCCTTCTACTGGGGATGGAGCCTGCAACCTGGGCATGTGCCCTGACTAGGAATCGAACTGGCAACTTTTTGGTGCCCAGGATGACACCCAACCAATTGAGCCACAATGGCCAGGGCTTTATGTATATATTTAAATGTGTATATATTCCAGAGCAAAAGAGGCACAGATTCCATTAAATTTATACTTGGATCTATGATACAACCTTCTACCTCCAAAGTTAGGGGATATAATCATGTTTAGGAAACTTTATTCTCATTGAATTAAAAAACATTATGTTAGCATTATTGGGCTTGTTTAAACTTATATGAATTAACAAATCACCTATAGCATGTTCTGTCATATTCTTTAGCATATTTATACTTTTTCCTGTGAAAATTTATGATTCTTTGTTTATATCTTTACTAGAGTCTAAGTCTTAGGAATGGTATTATACTAAAGCACTAGTAAGTGGCAAAGAAATCACTGACTTTTTAAAAAGTTGATGAATCCTTTTATTTGAGTATCCAGCATGGTGCCTATCACAGCGGTTGTACAAGTTGGTTTAATGAATGAATTAATAGAATTATAATCAGGTATGGTTGCAGGTTAAAAATCAACTGCTTCTATTATGTGAGCTGTGCTTTATTTTGCAAAATCTGAGGGCATTGAATAGAGAACAGAGCAGTTTATTGTGCTGACATCAACAGAAAGGCAGAGGGGTCAGAGATAATTATTTTGTGGAAAAGAATCTAGTTAGAAGACAGCATATTGAGAGAAACAATAGCTGAAGCTTTGGATGGGGTGTACAATTGTACAAAGAAACTGGGGCAAACTTTTTTGAGAAACATCTCAACAGAAAAGAATCTTAGCACCATTCCTTATTAACTTGAAATCTCTCTAATTATGCTTTCCATTGGCTCCTGTATTTTATTGTGACCTTAGTTCAAATAGTGTAAGTAGAGATACGGACTAAATAAGGACTAAAGATGTCAGGATACTTATTTTTATAAATTATCAAATCGATAAGTTCTAAAATATTTTCAAATTGTTGAAAATTTTTGCTATTTTATAAAGGTACTTCTGCATTCTCTCTTTCAACTTGGAACTTGGTTGAATAGAACCTACATTGTATCTTAAGTACATATATTCTGGGAAATAGAAATAGGACCAAAATTGGATTTGGACATAAACATAATCTTTTGCCTACTAATCTACAAGAAAGCCTTTCTTATTTTATTATTAGTCTTTTTTTTTTTTTTTTTGGTGTATTTCTGCCTTGTTCCCTTAACAACATTATAAAGTGTTCGAAGGAAATAAAATTTTATTTTAATGTTTTCTTAGCATCTACACTGGAACCTGGAATAAAACCACTCTCACTCTGTGCCTTTAGCTATTGCCCAGCTCATAGGTAATATTTATATTTAGGTGTTAAAAAATATATTCACTCTGTCACTACATATTGCCTGGGTTAGGAAGAAAATTGTGATCTCAGCACAGTGCTAATGACCTTTTTCACAGCAATGGATTTTTATAGGTGTTTTTCTTCTTTTTTTGTTGAGAATATGGCACCAGTTTTGGAGGGATTATTATGAATTAATTTTATATTTAGAAAATAGGTTATATTATTATTGAAGTGTGAGCATGCTCATTGAAGAAATTTTGGAAATGTATGAGCATATAAAGAACAAAAAAAAGGTACCAATAATCCTCCTGCCTTCTCTCAGAAAATGTGTTAGCTTTTAAAGTTTCACTTCCTGGCTTAAAGTATCTAAATTTTAAGACCCATGGGGCAACCAGGAATTTGTATCAAGGCTCAATAGTTGACATTTTCTGTTAATCCAGAATTTCTAGCTTCCCTGTTTTTCTTATTTCAAAGAGGCTTTCTTTGATTCTCTGAAATTAATATCTTTAAGAAATGAGTTGGTTGTTTAATGGAATTTGTATATATGAGTACTTTTTTTCAGGTGGGGCTTTCTAACTATTAAACTTTGTTCTTTTGATGCTAGTTTAACTGATGAAGAGTCCCGGAAAAATTGGGAAGAGTTTGGAAATCCAGATGGACCTCAAGGTGGGGTAAATGATTATTAAAAAACACTGGGGATATGATATATATTATTAAAATGTTAATTAGATAGAAAAGAATATTTTAACAGCCACAGGGAGTTAAACAGATGTGTAATTGAGTTCCTTTTAATTAATTTTTAACTATTTTTTTTCTAGAGAATAGTTTAGTAGATAAAACTTTGATTGTTTTGATGAGAAGAGTAGTCACTGTCATTCACATTTTCAGTTAGTAGTTCATAAAAATTGAATGACAAAAATGTTTTTTTGCTGACTTTAAATATTTTCTCACATACAGTGTTTACATAAACTCAGGAAATATAAAAGGATTTAGATTTTTTTTTAAGAAGGAATTTATGTACTTTGATTTTTTTTTTCCTTCTGGAACGATTTAGTTTCAGATATAGACTATTTCCATTAATTTGTGTAATGAGAACACATGTAGTAATCAGATGATTTTTCTCAGTTGTTGTTTTTTTTGGGGGAGGGAGGGGTGGGGATAAGAGGCAGAATTTTGGGATATAAATTCTGGAAGTACAGAAATGTTCTTTCTATTTTAGCCACAAGCTTTGGAATAGCCCTGCCAGCTTGGATAGTTGACCAGAAAAATTCAATTTTGGTGAGTCTATTTATATCACATTATAATATGTTTGACATAAAGAGAGCTATTACAATGAAAATATTGGTATGCTATTTTTAATTTAACTGTGTATTGTGAAACTTTTTATGTGATGGAGAAAATAATTCTTTCCCATGATTAGGTTGCTGGTTTGGGGCAGTGTGTTCTAACTGTAGTTTTAAAACAAAGATGTGATTTTCTTTTGGAGTCAGTTTCAGATGAGGTCATACCCTTGGTTTGGGGAACTACTGCTTTTTAAATTTTATTTGCCATTAATTTTTATTTTCCAATTCAGTTGACATACAACATTATATTAGTTTCAGGTGTACACCCAGTGATTAGACATATAACTTAGACCTGATCCCGGTAAATCTTATACCCATCTGACACCGTTCATAGTTATTAAGATACTATTGACTATATTCCCTATGCCAGTGATGGCGAACCTATGACACGCGTGTCAGAGGTGACATGCGAACTCATTTTTTGATTGATTTTTCTTTGTTAAATGGCATTTAAATATATAAAATAAATATCAAAATATAAGTCTTTGTTTTACTATGGTTGCAAATATCAAAAAATTTCTATATGTGACACGGCACCAGAGTTAAGTTAGGGTTTTTCAAAATGCTGACACGCTGAGCTCAAAAGGTTCACCATCACTGCCCTGTGCTGTACTTTACATCTCCATGACTATTCTGTAACAACCAATTTGTACTTCTTAATCCCTTCACCTTTTTCACCCACCCCTTCAACCCCTTCTTACCTGGCAGCTGTAAAAATATTCTCCGTATCTATGAATCTGTTTCTGTTCTGCTTGTTCGTTTATTTTGGTTTTTATATTCAGTTGTTGATAGGTATGCATTTTCTGCCATTTTATTGTTCTTATTTTTATATCCCGTTTTCTTAAAGAAGACCCTTTAACATCTATATATGTAAAAGGCTAATATGCTAAGTGTCCCTCCGACCAGTTGCTATGACACACACTGACCACCAGGGGGCAGACACTCATCGCAGGAGCTGCTGTGACGCACATTGGCCATTTACAAAGAAATGGCACCAGGGACCTGGCACCCACAAAGCAACACTCGGCTTCCCCCAAGTGGAACACAGGCCCTGCCACCACGCTGGAGCGACACCCCACCAAATTGCAGCTAACACTGCCAAGACCCCATGGTGCAAAATTTGGCCCACAGCCCAGCCCAGCCCGAAAACGGTGGCTGTGGGCACCGGGTAATGATGTCATGTAGCAATGCTCGGCTTCCTCTCCCTAGTGACTAGCCTCCTTGGAGTTTCTTCAGCCCAGGAACCAGACTTCCTTTATAGCCAGGTGGAAACATTTTACACTTTAACCAAATGTCTGTGAAGTGTTTTCCCATGCCTCATCTCATTTGATCCTCACAGAAGTCCTGGAGTAGGTAGATAGGAGACTCGGTGGAATTCTATTTTTTTTTCATTGGCCAGCAAACAAGATTTAGAAAGCTTAGAAACTTGACCCAACTGAAAAGAAGGAAGAAATGGTGGAACTTGAAAATGACTTCAGATTTTCTCACTGCAGAATATAGTCAAACACTGCTGCAGTTAAATATTTTTTCCTTTGTTCTCCCTGCGTGATCTATAATAATCATCTGCTTTGTGTTGATATTTATTGCTGTGTTGCTGACAATTACCTGAAAGAGAAGTTGGGGTGCTTCACTGGGCTGGAAAAAGTTTAGCTAAATCAGAAAGCAGGTCTAATTAAGCAAGTTTGTTCTATATTCTATATATATAAAAGGCTAAGTTGACTTGCACATGTGCAGTACATTCAAAATTCTTGCTGGCACCAATCGCATGCGTGTGTTTTGATCTGTCATTGTCAATTGTGAATTTGGTTGACACTTCTATTATAGAGAAAGGGTGAATAGCGTTATTAAAATATTTCTTCTAATTAATTTCCTTTCAATGTGCATGAATTCGTGCACCGGGCCACTAGTTTCATATAATAATGATTTGGTGATGATGAGCTCTTTTAGCCTTTTCATGTCTTGAAAGCTCTTTATATATCCTTTGATTCTAAATGATAGCTGGGTAGAGTAATTTTGGTTATAGGTCCTTGCTTTTCATCACTTTGAATATTTCTTGCCATTCCTTTCTGGCCTGCAAAGTTTCTTTTGATAAATAAGCTGACAGTCTTATGGGAGCTCCCTTATAGGTAACTGTTTTTCTCTTGCTGCTTTTAAGATTCTTTGTTGTTAACCTTTTGCATGTATTTATGATGTGTCTTGGTATGGGTCTCTTTGGGTTCACCTTGTTTGGGACTCTCTGCACTTCCTAGACTTGTATGTCTATTTCCTTCACCAAGTTAGGGAAGTTTTCTTGATTATTTTTTTTCGAAGAAGTTTTCAATTTCTTGCTTCTTCTCTTCTTCTAGTGACTCCATGATGCGTATGTTGGTACACTTGAAGTTGTCTCAGAAACTCCTTATACTACCTTTTTTTGGATTTCTTTTACTTTGCTGATTGCGTAATTTGGCTTCCTTATGTTCCAAATCACTGATTTGATTCTTGGCTTCATCAAATCTACTGTTGATTCCCTGTAAATTATTCTTCGTTTCAGTTAGTGTATTTTTCATTTCTGATTGGTTCCTTTTTATGATTTCTTTGTCCTTTTTCATGCTGTTGAAGTTCTCACTAAGTTCCTTGAGCATCCTTATAACCATTGTTTTGAACTCTATGGTAGTTTGCTTGCTTGCTTCCATTTCATTTAGTTCTTTTTTTTTTTTAGAGGGTAAGGGGGAGAGAGAGAAAGAAACATTATTGTGAGAGAGTAACATAGATTGGTTGCCTCTAACACATGCCCTGACCAGGGATCAAATGTACAACCCAAGTATGTGCCCTGACCAAGAATCAAATCAGCCACCTCTGGTGTACAGGATGACACTCCAACCCAACCAACTGAGCCCCACTGGCCAGGGCTCATTTAGCTCTTTTTTTTCTGGAAATTTCTGCTGTTCTTTTATTTGGGACCTATTTCTTTGTCTCCACATTTTGGCTGCTTCCCTAAGTTTGTTTCTAGGTATTAGGTAGAGCTGCTATGTCTCCTGGACTTAGTAGAGTGGCCTTGTGTAGTAGGTGTTCTGTAGGGCCCAGTGGCACAGCCTCCCCAGTTACCCCAGCTGGGAACTCTAGGTGCGCCCCTGTGTGGGCTGTGTGCACTGTCCTGTTGTAGTTGAGCCTTAATTTTTCTGTTGGCATCACTGGAAGGGATTGACCCCCAGGCCAATTGGCTGTGAGGACCTGCTGTGACTACAGCAGAGTAGCTGTTGTGCAGGAGCCAACCTTATAGAACTTCAGTGGGGCTGTTGTGCTCACCAAGTTAGCCCAAAGAGTTTCTTGCTAGTGAAGGTGGTAGGATTGTAATCTGGCATGGTCTAAAGCTATCCACCAGGTGCACTGGCCCTGGGGACTCCCAGGAGGTGCAAGGTCATCCACTGCCTTTGCCCTGTCTGGGACCACCTGGCATGAGCTTCGGAGCAATCTGCAGATGGCTCCTACTTGTGCTGGGTTTGGAAGTGCCCAGGAGAGGCCAGGCTGCAAACTAAGGCTGGCTGCCACTAGTGCTGGGGCTGGGCCCACTTAGCGAAAGGAATAGGACATGCCAAGACCAGATGCTGCTTGTTTGAGAGATTTTAGGAAAGTCTGTAGCAGGTGCCAAGAAAGGCGGTTTGTATGGAAAAACCACTGGAAACAGCTTGGGCAGGCCCTCAAGTTGGGCGGATGGGGTCTCAGGCAATCACCAGAGTGTGGTGAACAGTGTGAGCCAGGTTGATGGAGATATGACACCCACTTGCTGGCTCTTTGAGGTTGGAGGGGGTCTCAGAAAAAGAACAATGGCACATTTGTCTGCTCCTCCAGCTTTTGCTCTGATGCCAGATAATTCAGTTCCTCCCTGTATGTCCCTGGTGCCTTTTGAGCTGCTGTCCCAGTGCTGGAGCTCAGAGGGAGTGAGTCCGAATAAATCCATGTGCAGGCCTTTTAAGAGGAACTGCATGGGATTCCAGCAGCCCTCATTATCACTCAACCCACAATCCCCACTGGTTTTTACACCCAGAAGTTATGGGGACTTCTCCTCCCTGGCACTGGAACGCTGGGCTTGGGGGGCCTGGTATGGGGCTGGGATTCCTTGCTCTTCAGGGGGACCACCATGACTGAGATACTCCTCCTGATTTTTATCTAGCACATGTGGATGTGGGCTAGCCCATTCCAAGTCTCTGCCCCTCTGACCAGTCTCTATGTAGCTTCTTTAAATCCCTATTTTTAGGTCTTACATTCAGCTAGATTTTCGGTGGCTCTGAATGATGGTTCTGTAGTTGAGTTGGAGGATTCAAATACTGCATTTATCTATGCCGCTGTCTTGACTGGAAGTCCTGGAACTACTCTTTTTTTATGGTATCTGTATTTATCCTAAGTTGTACTCAAATGTTAAATTACCCTTCATTTCACATTTACCCAGGCTAAATTAATTATAATATACTAGAGGCCCGGTGCACAAAAATTTGTGCACTCGGCGGGGGAGGGGGGTCCCCCAGCCCGGCATATAGATGCTGAACTCTAAAATGTCAGGAATTCCTATTGATTAGGAATAGATGATTCCCTGCTTTCTTGAAAATAATGATCTAGGAGCTATCTTTGAAGTAATAAAAACCAAAATCCATATAGTCTGTAATTTGTTTTGAAATGGCTATTTATAATGTTATTTTATGGCAGATTAACATTTGTTTTCTTCAGTGGTATATAGTTGCTGTATGTAAGTGTGCTTATCATGCCTACGCTTATTCTGGGAATACTAAAGAAGAGAAACATAGTTAGCTACCAGATTAGGGATCAAGCAGTGGGAGAAAAATCTGAGACCAATAGACTTCAAACAGAACATTATGAAGTTACTCCTCAATATTTAGACAAAGGAACCAAACAGGGTTCTATTATTTATTTCCAAGGCATTAACTGCTTGCCAAGGTGTGGCTATATAAGTACTTGACTGGAAGGGAAATATAATTTCTGTTTTGCTGGTGTTATCTATAGAGCAAATGAAAAGGTAATTTATTAGTAGTGGCAAAGAACATAGTTTCTGTAGGTGGAATGCCAATCCTGGTTCTCACCTACTTACTAGCTGTGTGACCTAGGACAAGCTATGAAACATATATATGCTGCAGGTTATCTTAAAAAGGAAAATAATAATGGTACCTTCCTCAGAGCATTTGAAAATAAGAATTAAACAAAATAATACATGAGGAGTGCTTTTAATAGTGCCGCCTCCATGTAAACCTCAAAATAAGTGTTCATGGATATTGTTCTAATTTGCCTGATGAAGACCATAATGTTTTTCTCTTTAATTCTAGGTTTTACTTGTATATGGATTGGCATTCATGGTCATCCTTCCAGTTGTTGTGGTAAGTTCTAGCTCTTTTTATGAACATATTTTTGGAAAGGGAATTGTTGGTATGCTTTGGAGTCTCCTTGTTAGATTGTAATTTGTATTAGAATATATTCCATTGATCCTTGAATTAAGAATCTTATTATATTCAACTATATTTTAAAGGTCTTCTAAAGGTGACATCACTTGAGTATGCTAAAGTATATTTCCTCCCAGTTCAAAAGTTAGACACAACTGATAATACTACAGTTGTATTTAGAGTTTAAAATGAGTCTTCCTTCACTACCTCCCTCCACATCTCTGTTAGAGATAATCAAAGCTTAAGTTTGGTGATTTCCCTTTTAAATACAGTTTCAGGCAAAAGTAGGTTTACAGTACATGAAACAGAATTTATTCTTGTTTTATTATTTATTAATTGTATTATTTTCCATACAAACATCTGTAAACCTACTTTTGCCCCAGCCTGTATTTTTCTATACACACATTACAAAATATATGTATTGTCCTGACTTTTTTGCTTTAACTATTAGGGGCATGACATTTAGAGTGATCTCATTTTTAAAACAGCTACATGGTACCTCAGTATGTAGATACCATAAAGTTTATGATTTTACTGTTTATTACTTTTATGACTGGTGGTGTTCTTTTTGCTCTTACAGTTTTTGAGTCCTATGTGAGGCTAATAATTAACCTGTGTGCCTTCTTCATAGGATTTTTGTGTTTAGGATCCAATTGTATGGAATAATGTGAATTAAAATAGTAAAATTGCTTATTTATTTATTTATTAAATATTTATTGAAGACATATTATGTATCAGGAACCAGTTTGTTGCTTATAGTAGTGGGTTGGTTCATTTCTATTTTGTCTTCAAACAATTTCTAGCTGAAACTTAAATGTCTTAATGGTATAATTATAGTTAGGTAATCATCAGGCAGTATACATATTTGCAAAATAATTAATTTAAAATATGTGTTGAAGGTATTTGTTCTAAAGCTGAGGAATTTTTATTGGTTTATGAGCATTTAGAAAATTTGACCACAAACATATTTCTTATTAAACTAGCATTTATTATAGTTTTTATGCTTTATTTATTTAATTTTATTTGTGTTTAAGGGGTCTTGGTGGTATCGCTCAATACGCTATAGTGGAGACCAGATTCTAATACGCACCACACAGATTTATACATATTTTGTTTATAAAACTCGAAATATGGATATGAAACGTAAGTAAATTTAAGTAACCATGACAATAGATTATTTTCTGAGTCACTTATGTGGAATTGATACACATTCAAATAGAGAAATTCCATTTTATGTTTATAGATATTTAGTTCGTGTACCTAAAACGGGAGGAAAATGCTAACACCTTTATCACATTTCTTGATCTATTACTATTATTTCCATCTACTCAGCTATATATGTATTTTTTTCTCAGAAATTTTATGTTAAAGCTTCATGTGGACTAATTTTATAATACCAGCTAACATTTTTTGAGTATTTGTTATGTGCCAGGCATGCATTAACTCATTTAGTATTTGCTACGCCCCTGTAAGTGTGTGCTGTTTGTAAGCACATTTTATAGATGAGAAAACTGAACTCAAGGATGCACAGTAGGTGACAGAGCCAGCGTCAAACCCAGGCAGTTTGGTTCCTGAGCCATAAACTAGTACATTATCCTGTATTAATTGTAATAAAATAGGTAGAGGTCTTGGGTGTATTGAAAGAAAACTGTCAGGATATTTCATTCTCAGAGTCTTACTTTAAAATCCTATATAATAAAAGACTAATATGCAAATTGACTGAACGGTGGAACAACCAGTTGCTGTGATGTGCACTGACCACCAGGGGGTAAATGCTCAACACAGGAGCTGCCCTCTGGTGGTCAGTGCAATCCCACAAGGGGAGTTCCGCTCAGCCAGAAGCCGGTCTCATGGCTGGCGAGTGCAGTGGCGTTGGCGGGAGCCTCTCCCGCCTCTGTGGCAGCACTTAAGGATGTCCGACTGGCGGCCTAGGCCCACTCCTGGACTGCGAGAGGGTGCAGGCTGGGCTGAGGGATCCCCCCCCCCCCCCCCCCCAGTGCACAAATTTTGTGCACTGGGCCTCTAGTTGTTTTTTTTTTTTTTTAAAAATACCATCCTAAATACTTTCCGTGAGCTCATAAAGCTAATATTGTAAATTTTATCCCTGCAATATAGTATTGTCTTTCACAATCCCCCCTATGCAGAAATCATAGACATCCCGCTTCCCCTCCTTAAAAAGGAAAGATAAAAGTTTTAAATTGTGCCTCACTGGAAAATGCATTTTTTTGTTTCAAACCGTAAGTGGACTTTTCTGTATTTTGGATTTGCCATTTTACTATCTTTCTTGATAATCAGAAAGAGACTCCTCAGGATCATGTGACTGTGTGATTATATTCCTGAGGAATGAGCATATCTTTTATTTCTGAGGAGCAAGTGAACATTACTCTCCCTTATGCACACATGCCACTCTTCCTTATGCTGGCTTGAAATATTAATATAGAACTATTTCCTTATGTCGATGTTTCATGTTTTTATCTGTTTTAATGTTTTTTTGCATCAGTAATCTTTTTTCTGTTTCATTTCTGAGGGTGGTATTTAGACTTATACAATTAGTCTGTTAAAAAAGCATTATTTAGCTGGTGGGATTGGTTATATATCTGTTGTTACTTTATCATTGGCACCATTTATATGGCCATCTTAGGAACAATTTCATGAAAACATTTGGAGGTAGTAAGGGTAATAGTTCACATATTACTGTGTTTATTGTGTGTCAGGCTCATGTGAAGAAACTAGGGTCCATAGAGGTGAAGACTATTATCTAGGTCAATGGTAGGCAAACTCATTAGTCAACAGAGCCAAATATCAACAGTACAACGATTGAAATTTCTTTTGAGAGCCAAATTTTTTAAACTTAAACTATATAGGTAGGTACATTGTTATTAACTTAATTAGGGTACTCCTAAGGCTTAGGAAGAGCCACACTCAAGGGGCCAAAGAGCCGCATGTGGGTCTCAAGTTGCAGTTTGCGGACCACTGATCTAGGTCATTTAGCTAGGAAGCAGAAACTCTAGGTCAGGGGTGGGCAACCTTTTTGTGAGTGTGTGCCAAAACCAGCAAAATCTCTGTCTCAAAATTCTTCTGCGTGCCAACCCTAATTTTTTGAGAACATGTTACGCCTACTTGATATCTCTTAAGGTGTACGTATGTGAAGAACCTTGAAGAAATAATAACATTCATTCGAGCGACAAAAACACAGTATATGATGATGAAAAACACATTTATTTTTTAATGTATACATGTACACTGATAGTCTGACAGAAAACTTTATGACTCCGTTTGATATTATCAGTGGGACTTTTGCTGCTGCATCACTGATGACAGAGATTTTACATCAGGTTTATATTTTGTGACCTTCAGAGATATGCACGAGCTACTACTTTCATCCGTCAGGCTACTCCTATTACGAGACTTAACAAAATTCATCACTGAGAACAAAGATTCACAAGCGTATGTGGATGAACACATGGAGAGTAACGCTGTTGCAAAGTTTTTTAAACAGAAAAAATTTTCTGGAATGGCATTTCAAGTCCTCAATAGTTCGTTTTTGACACTATTGAAATTGCTCTTCCCCTCTCTCGTCAATCCATGTCTGTGGTCTTTAAGATAACTTGTTATGTAAAATTATTTATCTAAGATGCACCTACACTGAATTTATCTGAAAAATAAAAAAGTCGATATTAAGAAAAAAATTGTAAATGGAAGATTATAAGAGAGGGTTTCGCGTGCCAGCAAAAGTTACTGGCGTGCCATGTTTGGCATGCATGCCAGGGGTTGCCCACCCCTGGTCTAGGGTTTTAGGCGCTTAACCTCTGTGTTGCCCTGCTTTTTGTGAACACGTTGTGTGTATTTTCTGCTGTAAGGTGAGATTGATAACTCTAGTGCCAGTCATGAAAGAGCTTGTATAGGCTTACAAGAGTAATGCTAATATTCGGGTAGGGCAAAAGTAGGTTTATAATTGTATGGTAAATACAATAATTAATAAATAATAATAAAAGAATGAACTCTGTGTTCCACCCACTCACAACAGTAAACCTACTTTCGCCCCACCCTGTATGAGGCTGCGAATCATGTGTTTTTCAAGGAACACTATTCTCCCAAACCCTCCAGAGTTCTATAATAAAAGTTTCTGTAAATGACAGTATATTTTAGTTTATTGAAGGCTCTGAGTAGTCACAAAGCAAAGAAACATGTAACTCTTTTTAACTCATTATTTCCCATATTTAACCATAGAGCCCCCTTTTTTCACATAACATTTATTAATATCACATGGAATATTTAATGCTCTATAGAAAGTTTCTGTGGAACACATGGTTAGGTCTAGAAACAGACATTATTTGAAGTGATTTTAATGCATCTAGTTGCTTTGGGGTCCTTAATTTGATTTATATTTCTATTCACTTGCGATAGGTAACATTGTGTATGTTTTAAAAAGAGGCTTTTTTATGGAATAAATTAATACTTGTTAATAGTGGAGTTCACATGGCTTTTAAGCATTGTGTATGGTTGGAAAATTGCCTCACCCTAGGATTAATGAAGTATCATAGCAGGGAAATTAATAGGTGAGCAAATATATGTATTTACCTTCATATGTCTTTTGTTTCCTTAGGTCTTATCATGGTTTTGGCTGGAGCCTCTGAATTTGATCCTCAGTATAATAAAGATGCCACAAGCAGACCAACAGATAATATTCTAATACCTCAGGTTAGTCCTATCTCTTACATTCCTTGATAAGCATTTACATATTAAAGTTAATGCTTTTTTTTAGATGTGTATTTTTGAATAATTATTTTATTTACTCTAGCTAATCAGAGAAATTGGCAGCATTAATTTAAAGAAGAATGAACCTCCACTTACATGTCCATATAGCCTGAAGGCGAGAGTTCTTTTACTGTGTCATCTTGCTAGAATGAAAATTCCTGAGACCCTTGAAGAAGGTATTTGTGATATGTGGATTTAATTAGACTTCATGGTGCGCTGTTTTAGTCACTGTTACTTTTTGCTCAATCAAATAATTGCTCAAGGGCTTTTTAAAAAGAAATCGACATGCTACATAATTACTTCACAAATACTTTGAAGGTCTAAGTAAGTCAGATGTTAGAGCAAATGTTAAAATGTGAAAGTGAGAGAATATATGAGAAATGTTTAGTCAGTTGCAGATTATGTAATAATTCCTAATGACTTTTAAAAAAAGGATTTTGTAAGGTTTTGCAGGGAGGGGATGAGAAAACATTGATTTCACAACAAATATCTCAACTCCATTGCTCCACTCACCACTCTCTAGGAGTTGTTACCAAAGAATGGTTAATCTCTAGTTAAAGCTTCATAAATACTTACTTAAAAGAAAGGCAGTAGATTGAGACAGTGGTGTTTCCAGGGCTGTCATAAACTCGAGTGTCGTTTCTTCTTCACTTGTATCATTTCAATTGAAGTTTTTTGTTGTTTTTTTAAATATTTTTTTTATTGATGTCAGAGAGAGAGGGACAGGGGGAGAGGGGGAGGGAGGTAGGGAGGGAGGGAGAGAGAGAGAGAGAGAGAGAGAGAGAGCGAGCGAGAGAGAGAAACATCCATGATGAGAGAGAATCATGGATTGGCTGCCTCCTGCACGACCCACACTGGGGATCGAGCCTACAACCCAGGCATGTGCCCTTGACTGGAATTGAACCCGGGACCTTCAGTCCGCAGGCCGATGCTCTATCCACTGAGCCACACGAGGGCTCAATTGAAGTTATAAAAGAAAGTTATTCTCAGGGAATAAATGTTCTTTCTGAATAATCCTTTTAAGTCAGTAATACAATCAAATGCCTCTGAAAACAAGGCCACTTGATGCTCAGTGATTGGTGATAGGATAGTTTGCTTATGATGGCATGAGGGAGCACTATTTAAGCATTGTTATTAGAGTTGCAAGTTAAATAATAATTCTGTTTCTAATATTTTGTACAGATATAAACCATCTCCATTTTTACCAAATACCTAAGAGGTAGGGAACAAAATTTTTTTAGCTTGAGTGTTAATCCAATGGATGATCTTAATGGTTAACTATTATATGCAGTACTAGAGGCCCAGTGCATGAAATTCGTGCATAGTAGGGTCCCTAGGCCTGGCCGGCAATCAGGGCCAATCTGTGGGGTGACCGGCAGGATGATTGGGGCCCCCACTCTCACATGCCTTGGCTGTCCTGGTGCTGCCCCCTTGCTGGCCCTGCCCCCCACCGTTGCCGCTGGTTGGGGCCTGCAGGCTGGGGGTAGCTCCTGTGTTGAGTGTCTGCCCCCTGATGGTCAGTGCACATCATAGTGACCAGTCATTCCGCTGGTCATTCTGCCATTTGGTCTATTTGCATATTAGGCTTTTATTATATAGGATAAATGAAAGCATCTCCCCCTCATTTCTCCTCTTCCTCTCTGTGCATTTAATCTCAATCTTAGCCTTTGGATTTATCCATAATTCTACTCATAGAAACTTTAATGCACAAGAAGAAAATTCTTAAAGTTCTTAAATATAGTAAGATTAAGCTAAAGATTAATTGGGTAGGGAATCGATTGATAAAGCCTAATCCCATAATATTAAAATTTGGCCTTTGAAACATCTAATCTGAGTTTGGGTTTTCTGACTGATTGTGATGATATATTGAGTAGATACTATTAGGTTCAACCTGTAAAATTCTGAGGTCATGGGCAGTATTTGTAGGATACCTTAAATTTGTATTAGTCTTGGACTATAGGTGATAAAGATGTTTTAATTATAAAGATAGAATGATTTGTCAGGTTTTTCATTGTTTTGCAGATCAGCAATTTATGCTGAAAAAATGCCCTGCCCTACTTCAAGAAATGGTTAATGTAATCTGCCAACTAATAATAATGGCTCGGAGCCGTGAAGGTGAGGAGGAGATGTAATGAATTATGTCGTACTTTTCCTTGCAAGCATATGTAGATTACTCTTCATAGTTTTAAGATTTATGGGTACTTACCGTAATTCTGTCTATAAATTGAATCAGCTTTCTCACATTTATTTATGGCTTTTCTTATTTTTTTCCTTATATTTTCCACCATGTAAGTGTTTATCACAACTTATGTTTTAATTTTATTTTTTTCATGTTTTATTATTATTTGAAAGATTTAAAATATCCTTTTCTTCTGATTTTGTTGGAGTTGGGTTATTCTGTATTTTAACAATGAGTTTAAAATAATTCTTTAAGTGATGTAATGATGATTCCTCTGATATGTAGTGCTTTTTTTGCATGAGGAAAAAAATGAGGGAGTTTGTGGTCTGTAATGGAAAGGGAGAGAGAGGCCCTTAAAAAAGGAGGCAGTGGTTGTTGTTTGTTAATATGGATGATGTCAGTTATTGGCATGCTGTTAGTATGTTCTTGATACTGATAATTTCTGATAACTTGCTGTTTTTGGAGGTAATGCAAAGAATTTTTCTATTAAATCAATGGTTGTTGCTAGATAATATACATTTAACCAAGTGTGTGTGTGTGTGTGTGTGTAGTATTTTATCCAGTAACTTTTAAAGGAAAATCAACACTAAGATTTTAAAATTTGAGGGGTTCGGGGTAGTGAATCTTAGTTTGCCATGCATTGTATACTCCTCAACATGTAGAAAGTCCAGCTTTGTCTTTTCTTTTCCTCCTATTCTTTCTAAGAAAGGGAGTTTCGTGCTCCAACTTTGGCATCCCTAGAAAACTGCATGAAGCTTTCTCAGATGGCGGTGCAAGGCCTTCAGCAGTTCAAGTCTCCCCTTCTGCAGCTCCCTCACATTGAAGAGGACAATCTTAGAAGGGTTTCTAATCATAAAAAGGTAATTCTTTGCTACTTTAAAATTGGTTTTAAGCAGTTTGTCATGTCACTTAAAGATAACATGAATGAAAGTTTTCTAGAAATTGTTACTATGAATTACTTAGATTTAAAATATCTTAAACATTCTGAAACTCCCTCAAGTGGTTCTGTCAGGTAGCTGTTTAATATCTTACTACTGTAAGTGATTTTAGTACGGGGTCAGTGCATTTTTAGCAGTTAACACTTTGTTCTTTATATTACGTTACTAAAAATAAATGCACTAAGTAAAAATGCACTGTATACTTTGCAATAATTTTATCTGTGGGTTAAATGTTGGGCAGTGGTTTATTAGTTTAGAGTGAAGAGAATAAGTGTTCAAAATAAGTAGATTAGCCCTAACTGGTTTGGCTCTGTGGATAGAGTGTCGGTCTGGGGACTGAAAAGTCCCAGGTTCAATTCCGGTCAAGGGCATGTACCTTGGTTGCGGGCACATCCCCAGTGGGAAGTGTACAGGAGGCAGCTGGTCGATGTTTCTCTCTCATCGATGTTTCTAACTCTCTGTCCCTCTCCCTTCCTCTCTGTAAAAAATCAATAAAATATATTAAAAATAAGTAGATCAAATAAAGATAGTGCTTTAAAAATATACATATATATATTTTAAATACTTTTTTTATTGATTTCAGAGAGGAAGGGAGAGGGAGAGATAGACACATCAATGATGAGAGAGAAGCATTGATTGGCTGCCTACTGCACACCCCCTACTGGGTATTGAGCCTGCAACCTGGGTATGTGCCCTGACTATGAACTCCTGGTTCATAAGTCAATGTTCAACCACTGAGCCACACCGGCTGGGCAAGATAATTCTTATTTAGAAAACATGGTTTATAGTAAAGACATGATAATGAATCTTAAGATAAATGAAAAACTTGAGGAAACACAAGAAAATACTGAACAAAATCGTAATTTTGTAGATTTTAAACATTAGTTTGTATGCATTAGACAAAGTAGGCAGAAGATGGACATTAGATTGATAGTATATTAAGGTAAAACTAATGTATATTAGAAATTTGCATTAGAGTTCTCCTTTCAAGTAATTGTGTTATTATGCTTATAAGTTCGATCACATTTTAGGTTACAATTGAAGATTTAAGAATCCAAAAGCAGGCATTTCACATACCTCGTGATCTAATCCATGTCTGTGAAAATAAAAATCAGTGACTAGCACTAAACACCTGAAAATTAAAGAACACTCCTAAGTATCCATTTAGATAAGATAGATATTACTGTAATAACAGATAGCTATATTTAGACAATAAAAAAATGAGAATATTCTGTAGGATACAGCTGTACTTGGAGATAAAGTCATATTCTTAGCATTAAAATTGAATAAAGGTCAGAAAACTGAGCACTGAAATGACAGTAGTTCTTGTGTGGGTCAAGATTCTATATGAATACTAATTTTTCCCTATAACTTTTTTTTTCTAATTAAAAAATATAACCCTGTATTAACTCTGTAATAAATAAATACTAAATTTAATTTTCCTTGGAGAAAAAGGCCATGAAATGCTATAAAGCTGTTATTTGCTGCTTTAAAATATATATAATCTTAACATTTTTCTACAAGTTCTTGGATTGTGTTTTAGTAAACATGCTAATAGTTTTCTTTTATGAAAAGTTTTATGACTTTAGGATTTATTTTCTTTTTTTTTTTTAATTCAGTACAAAATTAAGACTATTCAGGATTTGGTGAGTTTAAAAGAAACAGATCGTCAATATCTATTGCACTTCCTAGAAGATGAAAAATATGAAGAGGTTATGGCTGTCCTTGGGAGTTTTCCACATATAACTATGGACATAAAATCACAAGGTAAGTGGGAGGTTTCCTTGTGGAATATTGCTTCCCTTTTGATAGAATGGCTCTTGTTTGCTTGACTCAAAGAGTCTAATTACCTATTTACCTGTCAGATTTACTGTGATGGAAAATGATGTACACTTAATAGTTTTGAGAACACAGAGTCCTACTTTTATTATCCTCGTAATGGGAATCAAAGAGTTCCAGATGTAATGAAAGAAACTTAAAATGTATCCATTAGTGTGAAAAACATAGCTGCGTAGTTCAAACATTAATTAAAAATTCCAACTTATTTATGTTCATGAAGCCTTGAAAATTATCATATTCTGTGCCACATTGCACGTGTTTTTCTTGACTTACCTCTGTGTGCTTGGAGTGAATTTCACCTACATAATTGCCCTGTTTGTTCCCATTTCAATAGCTGAATAATATCGTGAAATGACCAAATTAGAGATTATCTGCTTCACTCCTTCATTATGGCATTGTTCTGAGCTTTGACATTTATTAAGCTACTATTGTGCTAACATTCTTGTGGGACCAAGAATACAAACATGCATCAGGAATGGTTTCAGCCTTTAAAGGGCTTATAGTCTAACTAGAGGCCCAGTGCACAAAATTAGTGCACTGGTAGGGTCCCTAGCAGCTACTGGCTTCTGGCTGGGTACTCCCCCCTTCCCCCGGCTGGCCCCGGACAAACTCCCAGTCAAGGGGACAATTTGCATACTACGCTTTTATTATATAGGATTGGGGATATAGGTCATAAACATAGGATGAAAATAAGGAATCTTGGGCTAAGTGTTAAGTGAATGGCACAGACATTGTGCATTTATTCACTCACAAATATTGAATGACACTACTACTTCTGAGTGCTGGAGAAGCAGTAGTAAGACAAAGATTCTGCCTTATTGAGTTTACATTCTAATTGGAATCGAGATAGAAGGCTCTCAAAGATTGGGTGTTTGAGAAAGGAAGCTAAATTGCAATCTGGTTTCAATTTGGCTGGTGTATAGGATACATGTAGTGAAGACTGGTGCTGCTTTGATGGGGTTGGGGTGTTAAGATTTCCTTGTAGGCCCATGAGTTTTCAAACATTAAACATACAAAGCTTCATTCAGGACCATAATAATTTAATTAGAAGCTATTAATACATCTAGTTTGAGACTGAAGAGATACTCTTTGATAATAATCAAGGGTTGTAAAAAGTACATGCTGCTTTAAAAAAATGAATGTTGGAGAGATTATTTTTTCATCTTCACTCAAGGATATTTTTCCATTGATTTTTAGAGTGAAAGGGAGGGAGGAGTGGGAGAGAGAGAGAAACATTGATGTGAGAGAGAGACATGATTGGTTGCTTTCCACATCCACCCTGACCCAGGCCGGGGATCGAGCCTGCAACTGAGGTACACGCCCTTAACCAGGAATCAAACCCGTGACCCTTTGTTTCATGGGCCAATGGGAGAGATTCTTTATTAGATGTGTAAGGTAAGATTATTCTGTCTTACTGCAGAACGTTATGCTGTGTTTCATTCCATAGTATTTTGTATAGATGATTTATATTTTTACTATGCTATCCAAATGTATAATATGAGTAGTGTAGTTACTGGAGAGAGAGTAGAATTATAGAAGCAGAAAGGGGCATCTGCATGATCCAGTGTTGGAGATGGTGGATCCCTTTTCCCACATTGCTGGAGGAAATATAGAGTAAGCTTTTCTTCACTTTAAAGCAGTGGTTCTCAACCTCCTAATGCCACGACCCTTTAATACAGTTCCTCATGTTGTGGTGACCCCAACCATAAAATTATTTTCGTTGCTACTTCATAACTGTAATTTTGCTACTGTTATGACTCGTAAATATCTGATATGCAGGATGTATTTTCATTGTTACAAATTGAACATAATTAAAGCATAGTGATTAATCACAAAAACAATATGTAATTATATATGTGTTTTCCAATGGTCTTGGGCGACCCCTGTGAAAGGGTCGTTTGACCCCCAAAGGGGTCGCGACCCACAGGTTGAGAACCGCTGCTTTAAAGTGTCAGAAGGCAGGTAGACACTGTTAGAGCTGTTGACTCATGTGCAGTGCTCATGTACATACAGCTTTGCAATCTTGATGAATATGTAGCCCAGATTTTGTTTGAGGTAATGGAGACTTCCAGAAGAAAGGATATTGTACCCTTTTTTGATGCCCAGCCATTGCACTTCACAGCCAGTAATTTAGATAGTAGTTATAGGTTGTTGGAGGCCATTCTTTTCCAACTGGTGGTGTGTCAGTGCAGACTAGAACAGAGTATGCTCATCTAAAGCTGTGTAAAATACACGTGACAAATTTAGAAAAACCTGGAGGCAGAAATGCATAGTGAAGAAAACATTTATAGATAAAATCTGTAGGAAAAAAAACAACACATTTGAATGCAGGATCATGTTTGGTAAGTTATATTAATTTTACTGTTAGTTTATTTTAATGTTATTTTAATATTAAAATTTATTTTATTATTAGACTTTTGGGACTGTGTGTGGCAAACATGGTTTTAAGAAATTAATTGCAGCCCACTGGTATGCTCGGTGGTTGAGCATTGACCTATGAACAAGGAGGTCATGGTTCAATTCCCAGTTAGGGCACATGCCGGGTTGTGGGCTCGATCCCCAGTGTGGGGTGTGCAGGAGGCAGCTGATGGATGATTCTCTCTCACCATTGATGTTTCTATCTCTCCCTCCCTCTCCCTTCCTCTCTGAAATCAATAAAAAAAAATAAATATAAAAGAAATTAATTGCAAAAACATTGCAAAATATAGTTTTAAATATCTTGAAGTTCTTCCCTTAAAAATTAAACCTTTTTATGTGGCATACTAGAGGCCTGGTGCATGATATTCATACACGGGGGGCGGGGGGGTTGTGTCTCTCAGCCCAGCCTGCACCCTGTCCAATCTGGGACCCATCGAGGGATGTCCGACTACCCGCTTAGGCCTCACCGGGATCAGGACTAAACAGGCAGTCGGACATCCCTCTCACAATCCAAGACTGCTGGCTCCCAACCGCTCGCCTGCCTGCTTGCCTGATTGCCCGATTGCCCCTAACCACTTCTGCCTGCCAGCCTGATCACCCCCTAACCACTCCCCTGCCAGCCTGATCGACACGTAACTGCTCTCCTGCCAGCCTGGTCGCCCCCAACTGCCCTCCCCTGCCAGCCCGGTCACCCCTAACTGCCCTCCCCTGCAGGCCTGGTTGCCTTCAACTGCCCTCCCTTTCAGGCCTGGTCCCTCCCCTGCTGGCCTGATCACCCACAACTGCCCTCCCCTGCCGGCCATCTTGTGGTGGCCATCTTTGACCACATGGGGGTGGCCATCTTGTGTGTTGGAGTGATGGCCAATTTGCATATTGCTCTTTTATTAGATAGGATAATACTAGTTTTAGTTTATTCTGATAGGCAGCACTGATCATACAGGTAAAATCTTGTGACTGTAAGGTTTGCACAATTCAATGGAGTAACATAACCCTATTTTTAATATCACTGTGAGAGAAAGCTATGGTATGGTAGTCCTCACATTATACTTTGTTTAAAAAAACACACCTGGGTTTGAAATGTGGCAGTGCCAGTTTAGCCATTATGTGACCTTAGGCATTTTACTTTATTTCTGAACCTTAGTTTCTTCTTTAAAGTAGAAGTAACAATAATCCTTCATAGAGCTAGTTCAAGGGTTTAAATGAGCACATTGCTGAAGGCATCTATTGGAGGGCCTTATACAAAGTAGGCAATCACATTATTTTTTTGAGTAAGTTTAAAATATAACATATTTGAAATACTGAAGTATCAACTTCATTTGGGTAGGTTAAGTTTTATAGTTTGCATTGACATAAAGCTTAATTTTTAACTCAAATTTTTTCTTTCATCTTACAGTATTGGATGATGAAGACAGCAACAACATCACAGTAGGATCCCTAGTTACAGTATTGGTTAAATTGACAAGGCAAACAATGGCAGTAAGTAGTCTATTTGTATTTTTATGTTTTAAGTTATGTGTTTATGTAACCAATGTCACCCTAATAAATATAAGGGGGAAAAAAGTTATGTATTAAGGTTTTTATATTTAATTTCTCATTTTAAGTTATATATTCTCAGATTAAAACTATTGAATAGCAAAATCTAATTTTGCAAGTTATGTTAGCTGTTTTGAAATTTTAAATTAACTCTCATAGTTTTTCATATGAGTTTTTACACAAGAAAACTTTGGGAAATGAATTAATTCTTCATGTGATGGTTTAATTCCTTATAAAACATTATAATAACGGTAATGTGGGTATAATTCTTAAATTTTTAAGTGCTATACAGAGTTTACTATTGATTATTGTTGAGAATTTCATCACCTATTCTTTTTCAGTCCATTCTTTAGAGCAGCGATCACCAACCTTTTGGACCTCACGGACCACCAGTAGTCCGCGGACCACCAGTTGGCGACCGCTGCTTTAGAGAATTTACTCCCTTTAAATTTTTTAAATAAAAAATTTAAAAATTATAATGAAAATACACAATTTTAATGTGAAAAATTCATGCTGTCTGAGAAAAAATTTGGGCACTGCAAAAAGTAAAGGAAGAAGTGAATATTACTTAAAATCCTACCCTTCTGGTATTATCAGTTTTGAAGCTCACCCCTTTAGATATCCTAATGCATGACTATCCATAAAGTTAATTTTTTTTTTTATAAAAATTACCCGAGGATATTTTTTCCATGGATTTTGAGAGAGAGAGAGAGAGAGACAGACAGACAGACAGAGAAACAGCAATGTGAGAGAAACACATCAATTGGTTGCCTCCTGCAGGCACCCTGATCAGGGCCAGAGATCAAACCTGCAACCCAGGCACATGCCCTTGACTGGGAATTTAACCTGCTGCCCTTGGTGCGCAGGCCAGTGCTCTAACCGCTTAGCACACTGGCCAGGGCTTAAATGATGTTTTTATCACAGATCCCTTCTCTCACTTCTCTCAGGAAACCCCTTGTCCGTCTCCAATGGCTAGAATTTAGTCTTGTGTATATCCTTTCATATGTTTCTGCATTGGTTCTATTTGTATTTACTACCTGGATCTTTACAGTGCACATATGTATATACATATATACTGGTATTTTTCTCATTCTTCTTTATTAAATGTGATCATATTAATATGTTTCCGCATCTTGTTTTTCTCAGTTTCTATTACATTTATGTTACTTCCCAAGTTATAACTTTAGTTATAATTTGTTTTTAATAGACTATAGTATTTCAACTCAGTTTATTCAACTAATGGTAGATTTTAGCCTGTTCTGCTCTGAGATCTGTGAGCATCTGTAGGAAACATTTGCTGCATTTAAACTCTATGACTAAAACCTCTGGTAGGAGAATCATCTTTTGTAGTAGGCTATATCAAATCAAAATATGTTGATTTTATAGTAGCAAGTGGTAAGGAAGCATTTGTGTTACAGATTCTGGATGAGAGGTGCCTTCTGGGAGAAGAGGAAACTAAGCTAGTGGTCAGGATTGGTTTTAGAATCCAAATTTATACTACCTACATACTTTGGGATTCCCAGCCTGAGAAATGAACAAAATATCGGCCTTGGGCTGTTGATACCTGGAATAACTGGTAGAAGAGAAAACAAAACTGCTTTGGAGGAAGGGAAAGAATCAAGTATTTATTGTTCAGTTTTTGTGTGAACTGTACCTCAGAGTAATTAAGAATTAAAACCCAGTAATAAATGAAGAAATGAACCAGAGATGATAGAATTAGATAAGAAGTTGGCAAATCTTTCTGTAAAGGTCCAATTAATAAATATTTTGTGTGATATAGCCCATGTAGTCTCTGTAGCAACTACTGAACTCACAAATGGGCATTGTGTTCCAATAAACTGTTTAAAAAGCAGACCCCTAAATTAGGCAAACAGTTTAGAGCCTAACAATTGTCATTGTTTATACTTGTTAGCTTTAATAATTTCAAGGAATTTATGAAACACAACCCACATCACTTGTCATCTTCTCGTGTAGATTCTTACTGGAATTTAAATGCTAAATGTACTGATTCTAAATGGATTGTATGGTGGATGGATGTCTTTAGGGTATGTGGATTTTCTTGGTGTTCCACTTCTTAGCTATAGACCCAGTGAGCAATATCACTGACAATAAAGAATAAACTAATATTTGTCTCATGAAGTTTTCATGTTGGAAAATAATGTAATATATTCAAATTTTCATAACATTAAAATAGTCATGTCTAATTACTATTAGAATAAAAGTGAAAATTTAAACTAAAATATTTTTGAGTTTATAATGAGTGTACATATCTTAAGTCATTGCATTTATAAATTTCAGTACAGTGTACTTTTCAAAAAATATTCAGTACAGATGTGAGATATTTCAGAAGGTAATGTCTGAAGTATCATTTAGTGATTGCTAATTTTCCTGTTCTCTCCCTCCCTCCACCCCCATTGTCACCAGTTTAAAAACTTACTGATGATATATTTGAAAGATTGTTTTGCTAACCTGAAAGATGAGTGCAGGTTGATAGATTATACTTTTCTTCTCGCTTCCTCTAGGAAGTATTTGAAAAGGAGCAGTCCATCTGCGCTGCAGAGGAACAGCCAGCAGAAGATGTGGTAAAAACTTGAGTTTTCTTACAGTTCTTTCCTGGTGATAGGAATGCTTTGTTTAATTTTCTGACTGATTTACATTTCTGTGGAAGAATCATTCAGTTTATGAAAACGTTTACTTTAGCCATTCCCATTTAAAAATTACCATGACTCCCAAATGAAACTATTGCTATAATTTCTGAGTGTGTATGTGATTTACAGCAAGGCGATACTAACAAGAACAAGACAAAAGGAGGATGGCAACAGAAGAGTAAAGGACCCAAGAAAACGACTAAATCAAAAAAAAAGAAAACTGTAAAAAAAAAACCTATACCTATTCCCTTATCACAATCAAAGCAACAGAAACAAAAGCAAGCAAATGGAGTCATTGGGAATGTAAGTTTATTATTGTTATTATATAATTATCTTTATTGAGGTATACTAAAATGTTCAAATCTTATGTGTGCAGCTCCTGAAATTTTATGTATGTATGTACTCATGATACCCAGATCCAGATATAAAACCTTACCACCGTCCTAGAAAGCTCCCCTGTGCCCATTTTCAATCAATGACCCTTCCGCCCACCTTTGTACTCTCCCCCCTATTCTGTTATTACCATAGATGAGTTTTGCCTGTTCTTAAACTTCATGTAAGTGGACTTACGTTTGGTTGCTTTGATTTAACATCATATTTGTGATACTCTATTGTATATAGCAGTAGTTCATTCTTTTGTGTGTGTGTGTGTGTGTGTGTGTGTGTGTGTGTTATTCCATTGCATGGATATACTACAATTTCTCTCTTCTGTAGTTGGTGGACATGTGGATTGTTTCTAGTTTTTGCCTATTATGAATAAAGGTGCTATGCTTATTCTTGTACATTTCATTTTGTGGACATTCATTTTTCTTGGATAGGTACCTAGCAGTGGAATTACTGGGTCATAAAATTGGTGTGTGTTTTAACTCATTGAAAGAATCTGTCTTCCAAAGTTGTACCATTTTATGCTCCTGCCAGCAAATAATGAGTTCATTTGTTCCACATCCTCACCAGTATTTGGTTTTACCAATCTTTTTTATAATTTTAACCACCTGTGGTAGATCTGTTGCAGTATCCCTGTGTGTGGTTTTTATTTGTATTTGCCAGATTAATGATATTGAGCACCTGTTCATATGCTTACTGGTCATTTTGGATATCCTCTTTTTCTATTGGGTTGTTTGTCTTCTTATGGAATTGTAGGATTCCTTTATACTAGATATTAGTCCTTTTTTACTCTTCATGGTAGCTTTTGGTGGGTCTTAATTTTAATGAAGTCTATTTCATCAGTCTTTTATGATTAGTTCTTTTGTGTCCTGTTTAAGACATTTCTGGCTATCCCAAGAACATGAAGATATTTTTGTTCTCTTTTAGAAGTATTATTATTTTACTTGTTATATTTAGCACTGTGATACATTTTTTTTTAAATATATTTTATTGATTTTTTACAGAGAGGAAGGGAGAGAGATAGAGGGTTAGAAACATCGATGAGAGAGAGACATCGATCAGCTGCCTCCTGCACATCTCCTACTGGGGATGTGCCCGCAACCCAGGTACATGCCCTTGACCGGAATCGAACCTGGGACCTTTCAGTCCACAGGCCGACGCTCTATCCACTGAGCCAAACCGGTTTTGGCTGTGATACATCTTGAATTAATTTTTGTGAGTAGTGTGAGATAGGGATTATGAACCAGTTATTCTAGCATCATCTGTTAAAAGGATCATCCTTTCTTGTCTGAATTGCAATGGTGATTTGTTTTAAAACAAATGGTTATAACAGTTTATGTGCAGATCTGTTTATGGACTCTTAAATCATTTCATTGGTTATTTGTCTATTCTTGTGCCAGTGCCACACTATCAATTAATTAATTATGGTGGTTTTATGTTGTCTTGAAATATGGTAGTGTAAGTCCTCAAACTCTTCACTTCTTCAGAATGTTCTTGACTACCATATTTAGATCCTTTGCATTTCCAGCTAAAACAATTTTCACCAAAAAAAAGAAAAAATTGTTTTAGTTGGAAATGCAAAGGATCTAAATATGGTAGTCAAGAACATTTTGAAGAAGTGAAGAGTTTGAAGACTTACACTACCATATTTCAAGACTTAACAATAAAACCACCATAATTAATTAATTGATAGTGTGGCATTGGCATAGAACAGTCATAGAGAACATGGCCCTGCCAGCACCTGGATTTCAGACTTCTAACCCCCAGAGCTGTAAGACAATAAACTTCTGCTGGTTTAAGCTACCAAAAAAAAAAAAAATCATTCTGCAATATTTAATTGTTGATGTATAGAAATAGTTATTTTCTAAATATTGACCTTATATCAAAGAGTCTTGATGAATTGACAGTAATTCTCACCATTTGTAGATGTTTTTAAAAAGATTTTCTATGTATACAATTATGCCATCTGGAAATAACAGTTTAGCTTTTTTTTCTTTTTAAATCTGTATACTCTTCCTTTTTCTGTTAACATACTGGCTAGAACTTTCAGTGTAATGTGGATTAGAAGTGAAGATGGTTATCCATGTCTTATTGATCTCGGGGAGAAAGCAAACATTATTTCATATTAAATGTGATGTTAGCTCTAGAGTTTTTGTAGACATCCTTTATCATTTTAAGAAAGTGTTCCCCTCTCTTTCCATGCTGAGAATTTTTATGAACAGATACTGAATTGTATTAAATGCTTTTTAAACTCCATCTAATGAGACAATTTTATGATTTTTTTCCTTCCTGTTAATATGGTGAATTATATTGACGTGTTAAAAATTTTTAAACCATCATTGCATTACTGGAACAAATCTCATTTGTCATAACATAGTATCCTTTTTTTATATTTACCTGGATTTGATAATATTTGTTTAGGATTTCTAAATCTGTTTTTATGAAAAAATATTGGTTTATCATTCTCCTTTCTTGTAATATCCTTCATATGTTTTGTATTGGGTTTACCTCATTAAACAAGTTAGGAAGTAGTTTATCTTTCTTTTTCCTGGAAGAGTATATGTAAGATTGGATTTGTTTCTTTCTTATTTGGAAGAATTATCTAGAGAAGCCATCTGGGTTTAGTTATAGAGTTCTTATCCTCAAAATATTCTACTTTTTTCTTATATCAATTTTCAAAATTGTGTTTTTCAAGGAATTTATCCATTTCTTCTTGAGTTATCAACTTTATTGACATAAAGCTAATAATAATATCCTTAATTTTTAATGTCTTTTGGATCTGTAGTTATGTCTCTTATTCCTAATGTTGGTAATTTGTATTTTTTATCTGTTTTCCCTCTGGTCAGTTAGTCTTGCCTAATAATGCCTATCAATTTTATTTATTTACTATTATTTTAAAGAGAACTTTGGTTTTCTTTCTGAAAAATACAAAATTATCACTGTGATATATTGCCAACTCTCATTTATCTGTATTTGAATTATTCATGTTATGGATTATCCAAGGAAAATTTTTTTGTAAGTCTTTCTTTTTAAAAAAAACTTTTATTATTGAAAGTATTACACATATCCCCTGTAGTTTCCCATTGACCCCTTCTAGCATGCCCCTGCTTCCCACTTATCAATTTTATTAATATTTTCAAAGAACTAACTTGGTTTTGTTTGGGTTTCCCCTCTGTATATCTGCTTCCTCTTTCATTGATTTCTGATCTGTTTTATTTATACTTTTTTTGCGTTTAATTTTGCTGTTCTTTTTTTTGCTTCTTGAAATAGACTAGTAAGTATTTTGTTTGGGATATTAGCTTTCCTTACCGCATTATACTCTATCAGTTATAGAAGATAATATTGAACTATCAAAACAGTACTTTTCTATAAACTTCCTATTTTCCCTCTTCAAATAAATATATTGCGTAATATATGTTTTTGAAGTATGAGCCATCTTAGCCATTGTGGTAGTATACTTTGCAAATAGGAATAAAATATTTTTATTTTACAAAGTATGAAAAATGAATAAAATTACTAACAATAGACAGATAAGCCAAATGTTAAAGCCTTTCAGCCTGACTCCCACATATTTATAAATAAGAATGTTTATAATTCTCTAAAATTCTACAGAAGTAGTGAAATTGTGATTTGAGCTTATATTAAATAAGTGACATTCAGGGACTCAGAGTCATATAGTCATTGAGACATTCAGGACCTTTGTGTTTGCTTTTTCCTTTTAGGAAGCTGCAGTAAAGGAAGATGAAGAAGAAGTTTCTGACAAAGGCAGTGATTCTGAAGAAGAAGAAAATAGAGACTCCCAGAGTGAAAAAGAGGATGGTAGTGACAGAGACTCCGATAGAGAGCAAGATGAAAAACAAAACAAAGATGATGAAGCAGTAAGACTTAGGGGTTTAAATAATTGGAATTATAACTCTGATGATAATTTTGGTTTTTGTTATTGTTTATTTGCTTGTTTCTTTGCTTGTCAGTTTGCTTCCAGTATATTTTATAATCCTGTATTGTTTTTTAGGAATATATTTGAGGAATAGTGGTCAGAATTATAAAGAAAATAGTTTCTAACAAGGATTGGAAATGCTAATTTTCTTGCTATTTTTCAAAATATTTTTATTGATTTCAGAGAGAGGGATAGATAAAAACATCTTGGCTGCCTCCTGCACACCCTCTACTGGGGATTGAGCTTGCAACTCAGGCATGTGCCCTGACCGGGAATAGAACCAGTGACCTTCTGTGGGACAATGCTCAACCAACTGAGTAACACCAGCTGGCTAATTTTCTTAAAGTTTAGATTGCTAAGTAGATTAGGATCCGGGTCTGAGGTGACGTCAGTTCAGTTTCTTAAAGCAGTTTTCAGTTCTAGAGATGACTGGAAGTATGAGTAAAGAAAAGTGGGTATGAAATAGGTAGCAGTTACTGGGAGAGTCTCTCAAAAGTTCAATGTAGTGGTTAGGGTAAAGAAAGATTACTGTGAATTCTAATGTCAAGAGGTGGTTAAGGGAAATGCTAACATTTTTTAGAAAGCCACCTTATTTCTCGAGGTATATTAGACATTAAGAGAAGGAGCTTCTTAATAAGATTGTGAAGTTACAGAGAATAGAAAAAAAATCTCATGGCATTGCATTAAGTTGCATATGATTTATGGGAGGACAATAGAAAAAGAATATTTGGCGGACAAATAATGGTCATTACAAATTCCCTGTAAATGATCTCTAATTGATCAGCTGTTTTCTTTATGTCTGTGTTGTTCTTTTTGACTGAGCCATTTATCTAAAATAAGTCGTTTAGGAGAGAAAAAGAGATTCCCTGAATAATCTGTGAGGCAAAAGCAGAGTCGAAAAAAGAGGAAAAGGTAAAGGGCAAGGATGAAAGTAAAGGAAATAATGTACCTGCTCTTGGGAGTGGTGGGGGGAAAAATAAGGATGATTGTTTTTAAAAAATATATATTTTTATTGATTTCAGAGAGGAAGGGAGAGAGAGAGAGAGAGAAACAGAGACATTAATGATGAGAGAACCATTGATCGGCTGCCTCCCGCATGCCCCCCACTGGTGACCAAGCCCTCAACCCAAGCATGTGCCCCGACCGGGAATCAAACCATGACCCCTAGTTCACAGGTCGACACTCAACCACTGAGCCAGCAGGCTGGGCCATACTTTGGGAATTAAGCTGATAGTCAGAAAATTAAAACCTATCAAATTATCCCCAGCCTTGCTTTGAGAAAGAGTTTACATATTCCTTTCTGAGTCTATTAGGGTTAGAAGAGTAGATTCTTAGGATTCAAGTCTCTTCAGATGACCAAAAATACATTCATTCAATTGACAAAAATTATACAAATAACAAATAATTATTCATTATCTGTCATATTCCAAGCACTGCATGAGATGACAGGAGGGCAAAGCCAAATGTGAAACAGTTTCTGCCCTTGAATGATAGTAGGGTAGTGGGCAAGGCAGTAAACAAAACATTAGAGTACAAAAGAATATGCACATTTAGAGCAGGGTGCAGTTATAGCACCAAGGAGAGAGCAGAGGGAAATTGGTGGAATTTAGGGACTTATACTTCAGGCTTTAGATCAGCGATTCTCAACCTGTGGGTCGAGACCCCTTTGGGGATCGAATGACCCTTTCACAGGGGTCGCCTAAGACCATCAGAAAACACATATATAATTACATATTGTTTTTGTGATTAATCACTATGCTTTAATTATGTTCAATTTGTAACAATGAAAATACATCCTGCATATCAGATATTTACATTACAATTCATAACAGTAGCAAAATTACAGTTATGAAGTAGCAACGAAAATAATTTTATGGTTGGGGTCACCACAACATGAGGAACTGTATTAAAGGGTCGTGGCATTAGGAAGGTTGAGAACCACTGCTTTAGATGCTCCTGAAAGAATAATGAGTAGGAATTTGTCAGGTAGAGAAAGAGGAAAACAAAAATGGAAACAGGGTTTAGGAGAAGTGAAATAGCTCTGTGAGTTCAGAGAAGTCTAGGTAGTTTGAAATGACTGTAGTAAAGAGTGCAAGGAGGAAGGCAGTGATTGGAGACTGGAGAGATGGGCCAGGTCAGATTGTGAATGGAACTGTGGTCATGCTAAACAGGTTAGATTTGATTCATGAAAAGTAGTGTAAGTTTTGAGCAGGGACATGATCAGATTGGTGGGACTGAACTTAGCAGTAGTTAGCATTTTCAGGAATAATCCTATATAATAAAAGGCTAATATGCAAATTGTCCCCTCAACCAGGAGTTAAACTAGGGGGCGAGGCCGGCTGGCCAACCGCCTGTGGCCCCTCCCCCCGGACAGCCTGGGCCGATCCCAGCCTGACTGGGGCGGGCTGGCCAGACCCCACCTGTGCATGAATTCGTGCCCCGGGCTTCTAGTATAGAATAAGATGGAAGCTCCTCAAAATGATTGAAAACATACTTGATTTCATTTAATTTTTATTTTACTAGGAGTGGCAAGAATTACAACAAAGTATACAGCGAAAGGAAAGAGCTCTACTGGAAACCAAATCAAAGATAACACATCCTGTTTATAGTCTTTACTTTCCCGAGGTGAGTTACACATGGCCTAGTGTTTTCCTTATTCCATTCACTTTCTCTTCATATATTCTCAGTTGCCATTTATCCTTTTGTGGTGGGTACTGGCTCAGATGTGCTAAATGCGGTCTGTTCTTGATAGGCCTCATTTCTGAAGCATATATTTCTTTTTTTTAACGTATGTTTTTATTGATTATAGAGAGAGAAAGGGAGAGGGAGAGAGAGAGAGAAACATTAATGATGAGAGAGAATCATCGATCGGCCGCCTCCTGCACACCTCCTATTGGGGATCAAGCCCAGACCCCAGGCATGTGCCCTGATAGGGTATTGAACCATGAAGGATATATCTCTATATGAATTATGTGTTTAAAAAGAGGATTGTTAACTTTTTAAGAATTTTTGTGGTTCTCTGTGCGTGTGTGCAGATTACTAAGGGTTGTGTTTTATGATTTCTCATTAGCAGTTCAGGCAGCTACTCATACAAATGCATATTTTGGCTCTAGCTAGGTGGCTATTGTGAATCTTTCACTTCTGTCAAGTTTTAAATAGGATGAAAGTTCTTAAACTTTTCCCATGGGCTTTCTTTGTGAGTCCTGTACTGGCATCCTAGAGCTACTAAACTTGCTGTGGTCCCAGTAATTGCCTCAGACTTTGGCAGTTGTGGGACCAGCTAAAGGTCAGTAATTATGAGCGTGGCTGAGCCTCTGGCTCAGGTCAGGTCATTGCAATGCTGCTTGTTCCCTTGTCCTTGTTTACTTTGTGCTTGTGGGCTGCTCAACTTTTGATCTCCTTTATAGGCTATATTTGTCTTTCAAATGAATGGGATTTGCTTGACATTTCACTTCTGTGGATGATTCTGTCTGTGGCTAGAGGTTAAGAACTAGTTGCCTCAGTTCAGGGAAGCTGTTCTGCAGATTGCCTCACAGCTTTGTCATAGAACCTATGTTTACCACTCATGTTTGGCAGGTGATTTCATGTATCACTCTGCTTTCTGCTCTGTCAATGCAGAGTTGCTGGGAGCTGCTGAAAGCAAATTCCTAAGTAATTTGGCTTTCCTAATAATTAATGAGTCGCTCTGACAGACTTTTGTTGTGACTTGGTGAGACGTCAGCCCAGGATTCCATCTTAATGCACACGCTGATCCATGGCATGTCCTGAACATTAGCCCATCTGTTAGGGGCATTTTTCCCATTGCATTGGTCGTCTGCCAACCACAGGGCTCCTGAAATCAAGCAAATAAGTTCACTCAGTGATTTATTTTTAAAAGTGCCATGGGATTCTTTAAGCTGCATAATTTTTATCCTTGTAACAGTTTCATTTTAGACCATGCTTAGTTAACAGGCAAAATATTCATTCACTTTCTTAGAACATTTTAGCAGTAAAAATACCTTTTCCCAATATAATCTGCATCTGCATGTTAAGCATCTCAAAGTACCATTTATCAGATACTATTTATTTAGGACTTTTCTAATGTTTACCTGTCTACTTCCCAAGTATCTACACAACTACCCTAACTACCACACTACCCACTTAAAGATTTATATTAATAATTGACTTTCATGTTATTGAAACTCATTTACTATATTTATATTTAATATGTTAAGAATGGTTGGGAATCATACACAACAGAAAAACAATTTTGTTTAACGTACAAATAACTCTGGGTAGAGCATCTTTTCCACTTTCACCATGTGCATCAGAGTTTAGGCACAGGTGCCATGCCACAGATTGATATTCCCATGCTTCTTAATAAATATTCTGGAATGAGTCTCGTTTTAATAAGTAGCCTGGGAGAAGGGAGGGAGAGGCATTCTCCAAGTGGAGAAGTAAAGAAGAAATGCATGTTCTTGAACATATCGCTGTGCTTCCTATGTTACATGCATGTTCTGACTGTGAAATGTCACAACTACCTAAATAACAGAGGCCTTTACCTCACTTCACTAATAATCATAACTTATTTATTGCTATCTTTATGCTAGACATTCTAACATATTTTACTTGTATGATCTCAGTTCATCTTTACTACACAGCCTGAGGTAGGCACTCATCATTGAACAGAAGAGAAAAGCAATGGTTAGAGGAATGAAATAATCCAGGCCTGTGTGGCTTTAAAACATAATTGGCAAACTGCAGCATGCAGACAGATCTGCTTCCCTCCCGCTCTTGTGAATGAAGTTTTATTGTAAATGTTTTACTGGAACACAGCCACATTCATTCTTGTCCTGCTACAATGGCAGAGTTGAGTAGTTAAAACAGACTCTATGGCCCACAAAGCCCAGGTATTAATACTCCACTTTCAGGCAATTATGTTTTTACCCACTTTGTGTGTGCAAAACACACAGATAAACTTATATAGATACACATATCCTGTTGTGGTCGTCCTAACCCTCAGGTTAAGCTGAGGTTGGGCTGATCATGTAACATGTACTTGTGATTTATTTATTCTGCTTATTAATGTTGTATTACTTTTTTAAAATTGCTTTTAAGTCATTTAAACAAAAGAGCTTTTAATTTTAATGCCTCACGGTTAAAATAAAATGGGAAGTGCAAGTGATTTTAGCTTAAACACAAACATTTTTCCTATGAAACTTCAGTAAAAAGTTATTTTTTTAACCTTCTTTTGATGATTATTTAGAATAGTCTGTTGTTGTTTTGGTTAAGTATTTAGAATATTCTAGAGTTAGTTTTATTGTTGGCTCCAAAACATTTTTTAAGCTATTTTATAAAGATATCTGTCCTAAGCAGATGACTAAACAACCACTGATGTACTGTAATGTAGTGATGGTAACAAGCAGACTGGAGTTCAGTGCTTCCAGGCTGCTTCGTCATCTGTTTTTTGGTTTTTTTTTAGTTTTTCTGTCTCCGTTGGTTCTCCCTGATGTCCCTGCTGTGCTTTCTGGTGACAGGTGTTTTTGTTTTGTTTTTAACCAGCTCCTTTTCTGTTTCTAATCTTTTATGAAGTACACCTAAAAATGCTGAACTTATTAATATAAAAATCATGTGCAGTGAAAGGTATAGACTCTTAGATTTCAAGATGGTCTCTTATGAGTAATGTGTTTCAATTTATTGATTTCTCATTTGGTTGCCCAAGTCTCTTCCACTCCTACTTTCTGGCTTTTGCTTATTACTAGCTGAGATTACTAAGATTATTTGCTAGATGCTATTGTAATAGTTTATACTGTTTTCTTTTTTTAGAATATCTTCTTTTTTAGTTTTCTTAAGGTTAATCAGGGGTTTTTAATACAGAGGCCCATTGATAGGGCCTAAGGGGCCATTGGAAACCCCAAAGTTCGATACAAAATTCTTTTGGAGAGCAGATCTACAAATGGATAAGAAAAATTTATTTGTTCAGTAAATATTTCTTATACATCTATTTGGTACAGTACAGCAGTGACTAAAACAAGGATAATACCTCTTAATTGAAACAAGGCAAAACTGTTTCTCTAGTTCTTTCTGATGATTTATACTCTTTTTTTCGTTTGCAGGAAAAACAAGAATGGTGGTGGCTTTATATTGCAGATAGGAAGGAGCAGACACTAATATCTATGCCATATCATGTGTGTACACTGAAAGATACAGAAGAGGTAACTGTCCAACAATAGTATTTTAGTTTTTACAAATGTACAGCATCTCATCATCATGCTGCTTCATAAAATTTGTTTTTAGAAAACAGTTTATCATATTTGGCTTACTGCATTTTAAGACATTTTAAACTATTCTCTGATGTCTCCTGCGGGAGGTCATTTAAAATTTATAAAGTTTGAATGGCTAAGGTAGGCAACTTGGTCAGTCTTTGAAAAAACTTGTTTTCAACTTATTTTTGGAGATTTTCACCGTGTCTAAGAACATATGCCTTTCCTTCTCTCTAGAATTTCATTGCATTGTACAAAAATGTATGGTTAGTGCTAAGTTATATACTTTTCCTAAAAATGTAAGAATGGGTGATTAGATTTTTAGTGTGGAATTTTTGATTATGTGGCATTGGCCACTGTTGTGATGAACATATTTTACCCCTTGGGAACACTTTTCTTCTTTATTCTTGTTTTTTTCCTACTCCTCACCCAAGGAGTGAGGATATTTTTCCCATTGCTTTTTAGAGAGTAGAAGGGAGGGCAGAGGGGGATAGAGAGAGGAAAGAGTAACATCGATGTGAGAGAGACACAGCGATTGGTTGCCTCCTGCACACACCTTGACTGGGGTCTGGGATTGAACCTGCAACTCAGGTATGTGCCCTTGACTGGGAATCAAACCTGGGACCCTTTAGTGCATGGGCTGAAGCTCTAACCACTGAACCACGTGAGCTAGGGCTAGTTTTGTTTTTAAATTCAGGATCCAATCAAGGATCACGTATTACATTTGGTTGCCATTCTTCTTTAGAACACTTCCTTGGCCTTTTTCTTTTTCAATTTTTCATGCCATTGATATTTTTGAAGAGTCTAGGCAAGGCATTTTGTAGAATATTCCTTTGTTTGAATTTGTCTCATTAGTTACTCATGGTTGTATTCATCTTAAATATTTTTGACCAAAATACTACACAGATGCTGTAACCTTAGTGCATTACATCAAGGGCATAAATGTAACAGCTCTTCCCATATTGCTGATATTATGGTTGATCATTTAGTTAAAGCTTTTCTCTCTTGTGAAAGCTATTTTTTTCCCCCTAACCTAGGGAGGCAGGGGAGGTGATACTTGGGTACCAGGTGACTATCCTGTTCTTCAACAATCTCTTAGCCACTCATTTTAGCATACATTGATGATTCTTGCCTGCATCAATTTTTACTCTGCTGGTTGTATTCAGTGTAGTTTTAATGAGTGAGTCTGAAGGTTTTAATGAGTGAGTCTGAAGATTGAAAATCAGGGTGTTTGAATTGTATTTCATTTTGTATCTGTTTGTGACTATTGTTCTTGTTGGTTTTAGATTTTTTTTTAATGTTAAGAAACAGCCCTTTGTTATATGTATAGCAAATGTTTCTCCCCAGTTTGTTTTACTATTATGATTGTTTTTACCAAGCAAAATTATACATATTTGCTTATCCATTTATTTATTTGGAGTTTTTTTAATATTGTGATTAAGTAATTTTTCTTTTATGATTTTTAGGTTTTTGTATTTTAGTTGTTAGGAAGACCAAACTGTGAGATCAATAAAAAAAGAGATTCTCCCATCATATTTTTCTAGTTTGTATTAATGTCATATTTTTAAAAATTTTAAAAATAATAATTAAGTTGACTTTTAGAGAAAAAGAGAGAGGGAGAGAGAGACATAGACATCAGTTTGTTGTTTCGTTTATTTAAGCATTCATTGGTTGATTCTTGTATGTGCCTTGATAGGAAGTCAAACCCACAACCTTGATGTATCCTCACGATGCTCTAACCAACTAAGCTACCCAGTTGGGGCTTAATGGCATATTGTAATACATAATCTTGCCTACAGAATCTGAATTTTGGAGATTGGAGGCAGATAACCAGAAATTCCAAATGTTATCTTAAATATGTATTCTTCCTTTGTCCAAGTAGAATTAAAACTTCTAAGACTTTGTAACTCTGTATTTGAAGTTTATGATTTGATAGGAAATAAAATATCTTCTTGACCTTTTAAGGCATTGGGCATTTGTAAAGGAAAAACACAACTTCTCCTGTGTTTCTGCTTTACTCAATCACATTACTAACAACCTCACAACACTTCTGACACAGATGTGTGGTTTGCCCCCCACACCAAGCAATTCTCTGTCATGCCAGCTGAGTGTCCTTCAGTTTAACTAAATGCTGCCAGTATAGCTGGATAGTGTCAGATCTCACCAGCTAAGATCAGTCCCACAAGACTGCTGTCCCCCACTTTCCCACTTCAGGTGCCTCTCACAAGTCCTAGGTTGTCACCTGTACTTCTCACCAAATGGCTAAAAATCAGGGTCCCATGACTCCCTCCCTGGATTCAGTAATTTTCCAGAATGGCTCACAGAACTCAAGGAAACACGTGTACCATTTTGTTATAAAAGAATATGATAAAGAATATAAATGAACATCCGTATGCAAGAGATAGATAAGAAAGGTATGTGGGAAGGGGCATGGAGCTGTCATGCTCTTTTTGAGTATACACTCTCCCAGCACCTCCATGTGTTGACAATCTCGGAAGCTCCCCTGAACCCCTTGTTAGGGAATTTTTATGGAGGCTTCATCATATAGGTTGTGATTGATCATTAACTCAATTTCCAGCCCTTCTCTGGAGAATGGGGTGGGGGACTGAAAGTTCCAAGCTTCTCTAATCATGGCTTGTCTTCCTGGTGACCAGTTCTTATCTAGGAGTCCACCAGGAGTCACCTCATTCGAATAAAACATTCCTATCACCCAGGAAATTTCAAAGGATTTACGAACCAGGGTCAGAGAGCAAATATTAGAACAAAAGATTCTCCTAGTGTGCTTGTCACTTAGAAAGTTAGAGGGATTTGAGGAGCTCTGTGCCAGGAACCAACAGCAGGGACCAATATATATATATTCTATTATTTCACAGCATTTATCTTAGAAATAAGTAAATTTGGCAAGAATTATTACCTTTCTGGTGAAGTCTATTTTATTTCAACATTTCATTTTACTTTTATACCTTACCTGCTTCATTTCTTCAAGTTGTCAGGGTGTGATGGTCAACAAAGAACTTTGTTGCTTTAAATATACTTTCTTAAATTATGGTGATACAAATTAACCCTATTGATTCTGCCTAATTTTATTTCCTTTTGTATAGTATATATAATGTATGACATAAGTATCATATACATATTTGCCGTTGTTAGAACTTTTGTAGCATTTGTTAGGCTGTCATCTGAGTAAACACCTAGCTATTAAATACTCTGGTGAAGGAATTTCAGGAGTGCTGTGGTGTTTTTTCCACTCCTCAAGATACAGATTTTAAGTGCTAATTTTTCTTCCAGGTAGAACTGAAGTTTCCTGCACCGGGTAAGCCTGGAAATTATCAGTATACAGTGTTTTTGAGATCAGACTCCTATATGGGTTTGGATCAGATAAAACCTTTGAAGGTAAGAATAGTGACTCTTCAGTAAATGTGGTTATCTATTTGAAGAAGTGCTTAATATACTAGGGAAGCATTTCTAGTTTTAAAATGTAGAGTAATGGAAAAAGAGTTCATCTCATACTTTATATATGATACATTTGATGGACTGTTCTTTCAGTAATAAACCAAATTTGTTGAGTTAAAGGGGTGTTAACAATTTAGAATCTTAGATATAAATTACTGTAATAATTTAGAATCTTGACTATAAATTACTTAAGTGATACCTTTTAATGTGCTGTAACTTTATAGGGGTTCTGTTTTCTTTAGAAAAGGATAATGTGTTTTCCCACAGATTCTCTTGGCCTGTTTATTAATTTTTCTTTCTTTTAAGGAGATTATTTAGGTTACTGTAATAGGGAAAAGGTTCATTTTATCAAAAGGAAGGGGCTCTCGATAAACAAGGTGTCATCCTCAAGTTTTATGGGGTCATGAGGAAAGATGGAGATGGTCCTGCCTTGGCATTTAAGAGGGCAGAGGATCCTTTACACTTTGTCATCTCCCAGAACACAAAAGAATGGGGAAATTTCTCAACTGGTGTTGCTCAGATAAAGGTCAACGTTGTCAAAATAAAGTATGTAAAACATTTAGCACAGAGACTTAGAGCTCATAGTGGGGACTTCTAAGTGACAACAGTTGTTTAGAATAAACAGAAGAGTAAAAGCTACCCTTTAAAGACCCCGTCGCTAGGAGTTTCCTCATGGACAGCTGTTCCATATTCATTTTTTTGAATATTTATTCTAGTTCTGTGAAATATGCCATTGGTATCTTGATAGGAATTGCATTGAATCTATAGATTTCTTTGGGTAGTATGGACATTTTAATGATGTTAATTCTTCCTATTTATGAACATAGTATATGCTTCCACTTATTTGTATCTTTTTCAGTTTCTTTCTTCAGTGTCTTATAATTTTCTGAGTCAGGTCTTTTACATCCTTGGTTAAATTTATTCCTAGGTTTTTTATTTTTTTTATGCAATTGTAAATGGGGTTGTTTTCTTAGTTTCCCTTTCTGATGGTTCATTATTGGTATATAAAAATGCTGTTTATTAATTTTGAAAGTAATTTATTCTTTAGCATTTTAGAGCATATACTCTGTGTAAGTGTCATTTGAACCACACTACCCTTAGTGTTTACTATTTCGCTGCAGGATTTTTGTGAAAGCATTCTATTGGCTTAGGAAGATTGTGCTACAGTATCATTTCATGTGGACTGGCATCCCAGAGTAAAGGGAGCCAGTAAAGGCACACCTCTTTTCCCACAAGGGTACCATATGTCTTTCCCTTGGCTGTAGAATTTTGCTTCACGAGTCTGGAGGCTACAAAATAACCTCTTTGAAAGTCACATTTGAGTTTTTTTCCCTCAGCAGAAGACATGAAGACATCACTCATTGTTCTTGCTCAGGAATTACAATTATTAATCTTTCATGCCACAGAATAAATAGTATAGTTTCTATAAAATCAAACTATCAAACAGAAATTTAACTACATTTACATGTTAGTAGATTTACCTTCTTATTTCTGGGATGAATGTCTGTTCTAAATAAATACTTCAAATTTAGAGTTATGACCATAAAATCTAGTCCTATATAATAAAAGCCTAATGTGCTAAGTGTCCGGTCGTCCGGTCATTCGTTCAACCAATCAAAGCGTAATATGCTAATGATATGCTAAGGCCGCTCAACCTCTGGCTATGCCATGCACTGACCACCAGGGGGCAGACAGTCGACTGGTCGATCAGTTGCTATGATGTCCACTGACCACCAGGATGCACACGCTCTGACTGGTAGTTTAGCTTGCTGCTGGGGTCCGGCTGATCGGGATTGAGCGAGACAGGCTGGACACGCTCTGGAGCTCTCCCACGGTCCCTCCCCAGCTGGCCAACTTCCTACGTTCCTCTCTGGCCCTGATCGTGCACCGGTGGGGTCCCTCGGCCTGGCCTGTGCCCTCTCGCAATCCAGAACCCCTTGGGGGATGTCGGAGAGCCGGTTTTGGCCCAGTCCCACAGGCCAGGCCGAGGAATCCCACTGGTGCATGAATTCATGCACTGGGCCTCTAGTTATTTATAACTGCTTTGGTCAAAGAAAACCTTTTTTTTTTTTAATCAGTGATATCTATCAACATTTCTGTTGTCTACATTTAATTCTTCTTTATAGTTGGAAGTTCATGAGGCTAAGCCTGTGCCAGAAAATCATCCACAGTGGGATACAGCAATAGAGGGGGATGAAGACCAGGAGGACAGCGAGGGCTTTGAAGATAGCTTTGAGGAAGAGGAAGAAGAAGAGGAAGATGATGACTAAGCAAGACTACAAATGGACCATATTTGCACATGTTCGCAATTTTTTGCTGTTTTGGAAGTGTATAATAAACCAGAAACAGTGCAGAACTGATGTTGAGGGAGGTATTCTTTCCTAGAAATGGATGCATAATATAACATAGGCAGTGCTGGTGCCTTGGTACAGTCTGAAAAATGCTTAAGGCTTGTTAAAGCCTTTCAAGTATGGGAGGGTGCATTTACTTCATCTGCAAATGATAATAAACCCTTTGTTATAATGTCCAGAAGTGTGGGCTATGTGTTATCTGATCAATTTATGGTCCCAGTAAAAGAAAAAGTACAAGAAAACAGTCTATAAATGAGCAACTTCTTTGTTCAGTTTTAGTTTTAGCAAACAAAGTATGATAAACATCACAACTGTTTTAAGTAACATCTGCTCAAGTTTTCATCTTGGTAAGCGCTATCATTTATTGACATTTTGCAGTGATACAAGATTATTTATCACAGTTCCATTTATAGCTTTAAACTTTTTATTTTTAGCTGTCATCATCATAAGTTGGCATTCTCTCACATTCCACATTAAATAGAGGGCTACATTTTGGGATTTTCCTTTCTTAATTTCCCAGAGTTAATAGACAGATTATTAAAATGGCTTTTAATGGCTTAAAACATTTTTAAGCCTCTGTTTGAGCAGATCAATGCAGGATCTAGTTCTTTTATAAGCTATAGATCTAAAAATGATTGTGGGACCATATGTTCTCTGATGTGGTGACTTACGTTATTAAACCTTTTTTTAAAGGTTCATTATAAAAGCTGAAACACATTCATAGCTTTTAATCTACCTGATTCTATCACAAGCCTTTTAAGGAAAAAAATATATAAATGCAGAGGAGGCATTTTTTGTATTCATTTTGGACTCCTGTCAATAAAATAGAAGTTTGACTCATTTTACGTTTGTAATGGTGTGTGTCTTTTTACTCCCAGAGAAAGGATATAATAGGATAATTCTTTTATTTTCCAACTAAAAATTTAATATTGTACATTACTGCTGAAGTGACTGCTCTTTCTATATACCATAGAAAAACCCACGAATGGGAGGACTTTCCCTCTCACACTACATCCTAGAAGGAGAATGCTCATAAAGAGTAGGAATGTATACGTGATGAATCGTTCAAGTAAGATGAATATTTTCATGACTAGGTATGGAGGCAGCATAAGTTTCTAATATTATAGGACTGATTGTAATAATACTCTCCTATCAAAATCTTCATAGGCCAAAGTACTATCGGAATACTAACTTGTGACCTTGTGTATTTAAAAGTTTGCCACTTTCCATGCAGAATTAGTACTGGTATTTTGTTACTGCAGTAATTGGAAATAAAACTTGAAAATTACCAGAAACATGAATGTTTTTTGGGGTTCTAAATTGAGGATGTAGTCTTTTCTGAGATACAGTGAAAGTAGTTTTTCCATTGGAACTTTCATCACCTGTTTTTCATTTTAAAGGTGTGAGACCCTTCCTTGGCAGGCAGGAGTGCCATTGAGGATTTGTTTCATTTTACAAGTCAGGAGTGGGTTTAATTTTTGAGTCAGGTTTTACTGGGAAGCTTCGGTGGCAGGGGAGGCAGCTGGTGGTGGTGGAAGGGAGTGAGCCAGCCTGTAGCATCAGTGAAAGGGGAGGCTAGAGAACGCGTGTGGTGTGAAGGCAAAGTGAGAAAACCAAACAGTGTGTAACATGCATAGGTCATGGTTCTCGTGAAAAATTCTTCCAAGAAAGGAATTTCTATTCTATTGGCTATTTTCTCTTAAAGAGGCTTTATCAGTTTATTGAAATAACTGGCTTCTTTCTGTTTGACTCTAGTAAGGATGATTTCACAACCCAGTAACTCCCCACAGTGCTGACCACAACAGCATCACCTCAACCCACTGCTCGATTTTCCTTTGCCCTTCGGGTGATATACAGGGTGGGGCAAAAGTAGGCTTACAGCTGTTCATATGGAAAATAATGCAATAATTAATAAATAATACAATAATAAACTCTGTTTCTTGTACTCACGACTATAAACCTACTTTTGCCGCACCCTGTATGTGTACTTCCCAATAAAATAAGTACATTTTTCTCTAATGAGTACATTAAACTCTTTCCATACCACAGTAATGAAAGGCTTGAGCCTTCGGGTTATGGTTCATCTTTCCAGCAAGTCTGGAAACTGCATCCCATTTTTCTTTCCCTTAACTGAGATTTACTAGTGAGAACTGACTTAAATGTACCCTGGTTTGCATTTAATCTAATGGAAACCCTTATTGAGTGTAGTTCCTGTTTTTGTTCCCATCAAGAAAGTGACATTTTGTCATCAGGATACATGAACATATAGATGAAAACTGTGGGTATACAAAGTGAAACATTATGAAATTAAGTTGCATAATATTTTTATCTTTGTAATTGGTGAAGTTCCTATTAAAACAAAAAACTCTCCCAAGGGGAAACCACAATTAAAAGTCTAGCAGTTGTAAATGTTAGGGTTATAAAACTTGAGGCCCCACGCTGTCTTCTATGTGCATAACTCAATCTCAAAGTCAGATGTTCATGTCCTTTAAATTTTTTGGTCAGTTTTTAAAAATTAAGGGCACATTGAATGAGGTTGTATAGAATAAATGTTCTGTTGTGTTTCAGCTTGCATTGAGAGGTGAAGCACCAGCCTGTTGATCCGAATTGCTCCACTGTGTGGTGGGAAGCTCAGGCCCTGGGGGGGGAAGCAGAGCGGGAGGAGGGGAGGGGAAGGGAGGGAGGTGTTGAATGCAATGAGGCTCTGAGCATATTATTATTCCTCACCCGAGGATATGTGTATTGATTTGAGAGAGAGAGAAACATCAATCAGCTGCCTCCCGTACACACCCCAATCAGGGTTTGAACCCGTGATCTCGGTATGTGCCCTGATCAGGCATCAAACCCACAGCCTTTTTGGTGTACAGCCACTGGCTGGGGCTGAGCATATTATTCTTGACCACATCCTTATCCGGTTACTTGTTTCAGCCAGTCAAAACCAGATATTGGAACATTCTTTAGCAACAATTCTTTCAAATGGAATTCAGCACTTCAGATAGTTTTTGGGGATTATTGGTCATCATTCATTGCATATTTACTGAGTGTCTATGCGCCTGGGTCTGTGATTGGATACTGGGGCTATGAAAAAAAAATTTGTATTTTCTTTTTTAAAAAATTATTTATTGATTGATTTTAGAGAGAGAGAGAGAGAGAGAGAGAAACATTCATTTGTTCCACCTCTGAATTCATTGGTTGATTGCAGTATATCCCGTAACTAGGGATCAAACCCGACACCTTGGTGTGTAGGACAATGCTCTAACCAGTCAGGGCAAGAATTTGTGTTCCTAAGGACTCACCAGTATCAGGGCAGATGTGTGGCAATCTATTTTAATCCTTTAGCATTAGCTAATATCCATTGTTTGGAATGTCTTTTTTTCAGTCTGTAGGCAGAGGGATTATATTTTTAGGTGCTAGCTGTTTATTGGCTTAAAAAAGAAAGCAAATCCTCGACCTTTCTTTAAAGCATTTTTCTCCCCAAGTATTCTTACTCAACTCCTTGAAATCCCCTATTATAGTCTGCCTTAAAGTGAAAGAGCCTAACAGTGAACCATAATGTGACATTTTACCAGCTGTGTTGTGATTAATCCAAATATGTCTTAAGAAGTTAGCATTAAGCATCTTCACATATTTAAACTTGATGCTAGGGCTATTTTGCAAAACTTAAAAAAAAAAGCTGTGATCTTGTACATTTTTGTAACCTGAGCTAAAAATCCAAATGCAGCAGTCATTGGCAGGCTCTAGGGCTGTAGTCTCAGGTGGGGGTGCACATCGCAGGGCATGGGATGATCCATCCACTGGGGAAATGTTAAAATGGTTATTTGTATTTAATCTCATCCTTTAAAATTTCTATTTTTGTGTGTTTTATAATGTACACAATATATTGTTCAATTGTACACTTCTATAATTTATAAATAAATAATACATTTTATTGGTGTATTATTCCTTCTGATGTCAATGCATGGTAAAAACATTTGGAAGCTCTGTGTTTGAAGTACTGATAGGGTGACATTTAAGCTAAAATTAAGGTTTGGACCTTTGGTAAATCACCATTTGAGTTCACAGTTGTGCTACTCTGCTGGAGTTGAAGGGTTGGCATTCACTCTGTCTAGCCCTACAGTGGCCCAGGAGCAAAGTGATGCGTTTGGTGATGGAACTGAGCCGGTTTGGTGATGGGGGTTACTGGAAGAAGGGAGAGGCCCATGGAATGGAAGTGGGGCAGGTAAGGGCAGAAGGGCTGGTGGTTGATTCCCAGCCAAGGCTGCAGCTCTGTTAGTGGTCCCCACAATCAGTGGCTGCTACAAATTAAAGGTGAGTGTGCTAAGGGCTATCCACTCTCTTCAGCACTAAGTGGTTCAGCAAAACCTGTCAAGCTGGGTCTGCAAAGGGAACTGTGTTCCTCTCACCTCTGAACACCTGAGGTTCCGAGGTCTGTCTACTTGAGGTTAAAATCTGGATAATGGCAGCAATGGATGCCACGGAGGAGTGCAGTCCACAAAGCAACTGCAAATGGTTACCTGTAGTTTTCAGTGTGGTTCCAGTAGAGGGCGCTATCGCTGCACTTTTCAGAAGTACAGAATGGTTTAGCTTGTGGGACTAAGAACCACAATTTAAGACATGCTTTCTAATGCATTTATATTTCTGAATTCTAGGATTATTTCCTTTTCCTTTAATCTCTGTTCTTCCTATCTAACTGTTTCCTTTCCTATGTGTGTCCTTTAATACATTCAATTCACTTCTCTGTTTTCTGGCTGGAAACATTAAGTCGCTTTGCAACAAACCACAGGAGACAATCCATATTTGTTCATTGTGTCAGAACTGTATTCGATTGTTTTCTTGAGAGAGGTAGGAAGTCAGGTAGGACAAAGAAATCCTTTTATTCTACAAATTTAAATTTTTTGGATGTTTTTAAGAACTATGAAAGGTCTGAGATTTTTACTCTGTGCAAGCTAATGAGTTAACCCACCACAGGGCCACGGACACTGGCAGAAGACGGGACTCCCAGGTCAGAGGCACCGAAGGCCGAGGGAGCTTCATTCCCCATCTGCTCCTCTTGTCCCCCTGGCTCCATTGGGCGGGGGAGGGGTGTGGATTAGCCCAGGCGGGTGCTGCACATGCAGTGTGTTTGTATCACAGCTGAAGAATTTTGAGCTCAGAAAACTTAATCTAAAGGATCTGCAAGCAAAGCTGTGTGCAGAAACATGAGATATCCACGGAAATTGTCTCAAAAGTTGGAGTTCAAAATATATAGAACCTCTATTTACAAAGAGATGCAGAGCACATATTTTCAAAGGGTGTGAGTTCTATTTAGTGAACATGAGGACCAGCGAGGTCATCGTCCTGGAGAATAATGTGCATGTAAGCCTCTTACCTTGTTGTCAAGACAGTTTTATATTACAAATGAAGATAGTTCACCAACTGAAAAATACCCAGAATTTTCCAAGTTGAAACTGGTCCAGCATGACCATGGAAAAGGGTGTGTAAAAAGTGAACACTCTGTCGTATATTGTAACCATAAAAGATTTTTTTTTATTGCTCTCTGCATCCCTCCCCAAAACCTCAACCCCAAAGCCTGTCCTTCCCCCAAACAACAGCCCTCCACACTCTTCCCAACAAACCGATTGTCTGCCTCCCGTGAGTCTGAGTCCTGGTCGGAGTCGCCGTTCCATTGGCCGTGTCCTTCCTGAGACGCTGCCAAGCCAGGGAGTGTTTGGTTGAAATAATTGAGGACCCGCTGAAATATTTTTCTGAACAGTCATGCTGGCACCTGATCATCCTTTGAGGGGAAATTTGTTTGTTTCTAGCTGTGAAAATGTATTTATTTAGAGATGATGCAGGTGAATAGAGA